AGCATTTGGAGGTTACCACCTAATTTGTAGATTAGAAAGTGCACCTTTGATGTTTTAATGTCTATCAAATATCAAATAAAGACCTACCTTTTCTCTGATGTGAAGATGGATAAATGCCAAAAATCATTTCCATGTTAACAAAGTTTCCCTTTTAACAATCACAAATGTAATTGGAAAGACACAATTATTGTCATCTTGAGTTGTATCAATAAGTAATATTTGTCAGTACTTACCATACAAGAATGTATCATCTATCTATTGTAAAGGTTTAGAAAAGTTGAAATCAATTCGACGTTGTCTGAAGGACCAAAACAACCAATGAAAGACTCTCAATCTGTTATCCACTTGGTGGCTAATCACATACTCATTGGTTTCAATTTCATAAACGAACCCAAAAGCAAGTAATTGCAAGTACTCTAACCATCTTGATAAAAAAAATCCTTACAATGACTTTTTGTTTTACCTTCCATGCTTTCTTATACAAAACTTAACCAAATTGATCACTTATTCTTTCTTGAATTAATGTGATTGGCATTGATGGTTGTTCTTTTACCACATGCAGACAATATATTAATTATGTCAAACGTTGGTACATTAAAATTAGACTACTACCACCCAATATCTTTGTCAATTTAAACTTACCAAGAATACAAGAGCAAATGATGTTTGAATTCAGTTTTTTGTTATCTAAAGATATCATTGGATTAACACATGTATGTGTTTTACCAAATCTTGTGAGTTTTTATTTGTTCAAATTTCTGGACAATGGTGCTCTAACTCTCTAGGGGCATCCAATAATATGGTTTGGACACTTCACATACAACTTTATTAGTTTTGACTCCACCACAAAATTACTTTAATGTATTTACATTGCAAATTATTTAATACTCACTTTAACATCTTCTTTAGACTCAAACACTTGCCCAACATATATTGCATCTCCCTCCCTCCATGTTTGATAAGCATGAAAATCTAAATTTTTCATTTCTTGATTAGAATGTTTCTAAGTAATATAAGTATAGTGTGAACTTGCATTCAAAAAAGGAGTTTCAACCACACTTGCATTACAACCACACAATAGAGTTATTTTCTTTTATTTTTCAATTAAAAAAATTAATATTTCAATCTTTACAAATACCTCCTTTTGTGGATTGTTAGTTGTATTCAACATTGATTAAAATTTCCCTCCAAATTAGTATAAGATAAACTATCTATTGAAATTTTCTATTCATTTTTATTGTCATCAATATCATCATCCTCATATTGCTTTCTATATTACCATTATTAAATTCATTGTTAGATAAACATATACTTTAAGAAATTAAATAGAAATTACAATCAAAGTAACCATAAGTGTATTTGCTCCTAATAGAAGTTGATCATTATCACTAGTATTATCACATACAAATGATAAATTTAAGTCAACACCTTGTGACCGAATAGAAAAACTCTCACCAAAGATAATATCTGTGTATAACTTAATTGTACTTCTCTAATTTTGATGTAAGAAACACTTAACTTGTAATTAATATCTTTGTCATTACATACATCTATAATTATATATTGTCCAACAATTGAGTCTACTAAAAATTGTTAAATCAATCTGAATATAATTTTAATAGTAGACAATTTCAGTTTTGCATCAATCTTTCCTTTCACCATGGTGAAACTTATCTTATGTTCAATCATAATCATTTTTTTTATTTCCTTCAAAGTTAACAACCTTGTTACCTAAATTTTTTTCAACCATTCCAGTATACGATAATCACAAATCTAGTCATCTTACACCAACAAATTTGTCTTAAATCATTTATAATTTATTATATACCATTTATTTCACATCCAAAACATATATATAATATAATTTTAAAAAAAATTACCTAATTCATCTCATCAACAATTACCCTCTAACTATTATAAATACAAATATAATTATTTAATAATTCAAATTTAATTTTGACTTTATATTAAATAATATTACTACAACTTTAAAATGTTTACTTTCAACTTATATTTAATATTATATTTATATTTTATTTGTTAAAAATATTATTTTTTATTAAATTAAATTATAAATATTAATTTTTTATTATAGATTTATAATTTTTAAATTATTTTCATACATTTTACAGTTTATTATTCTTTTTTAATATAATTTTTTAATCACTATAATAATTTAATATTTAAATAGAAACTAAAAAAAATCTAAATTTTTTTAAAAAATTACTAACTTGATACCAACTTTACTCTTTGCATCTTTGGTCAGGAGCCTCCAATATTATAATTATGATATGAACCATTAACACTTTCTAATACTTTAGCAATCCTCTTATGCATTTTTCTCATACTCGTGCTTATTCAACATATCAAAGCTATAATAACGAGGACCGTAGCAATCAGATCATAATCAAGAAGTTTTCTGATACATAGGATTCTCATTAAGAGGCATGTGTAGAGCATACTTACTTCTAATAAGGGATTAGAGGATAACCATTATTAATAAAGCTTTTAGAGAAAATATTTAGAAAGAACACATGATATTGTATGAACAAAAGATTTGTTATTAATTTGTTCTGCCTTCTACAAGCGAACGTTCTTCGTTACATAAAGGATAGAAAACAAACAACATGATTACAAACAGACATTATCGAATAAGATTTCAATATTTTCCTAAAGAAACTTTAAGCAAACAAACAAATTAAGATTACTTTTAGTACATGATAAAGCACACAGTAAAATTTAAAGCTTCTTTTAGTACAATACAAGTCATCCTGAAAGACTTAAAGATGCTTTGTTCATTTGTCCTTTAGTCTTTGAAGATAGGTTCATGACTCGGAGAGAGATTTAGGTTATTATCAGTTCTCTATTTGTCTTAATCCATTATTGAGCATAAGGATCTTGTGAATCTATTACAATGTCAGCTTGTGATAATTCAGCTTCTTCATGTGGAATAATATATCCTTCTCTTTCCCAATTACCAAAGGCAAGACTAGAGGAAGTAAGCGATGACATAACTTGTTGAATTTGATTCCACGTATTATCATCATCTAGATCTGGAGGGTAGATGATATCTACTGGCTTCAGATTTGTACATGTGAAATTTACCTTGGTCATATCTTCTTGAGCTCCATTAATAACATGGAAATGAACTATTAAATCTACTTGATAGAAAGGTAGTCTGTTTTGTTAAGAGATTTCTTTTATACTTTCATAAGTATTCTAAAATTGGACCTAATTTTGAGTATAAATTAATTTGAAAGTTGGATGTTCAAAATATGACCTATGAATTATCACAACTGTCACATTCTTTAGAAATTTTGAAGGTGGTAATTTTACTTCCTTATATATATAAATATAAAGTGCATCCACAATTATTATTCAGAGGATAAAATTAATTCTTATGACAATAGTATCACGCTCTGATAAGCAGTAACAGTTTCAAACTTTGACTGCTGCCATTAGTATCAACCTTTTATTGGCGATATTGTTCTGCAAACACTATGTGGCTACGTCTTCCCCATTTAAAATGTTGTGTACTTGTAGGGATGATACAAGTTGATCAATGATCATCTGTTAATCTTTGAGGTGGTATTAATCTAGTATCGCCTCATTTAGTGTAAGACACCATCTAACGTAATAACAAAAAACACCGGATAAAGAAATAGTTTTTAAATTATTTTAATTTGAGATTTTATTTTTAAAATTGTATTGTTTTGGTAAAAAAACAAAAGTCCAAAATAACACCACTAGCAATTTTTGGTAAAAAAATCATAGGTACTTTTTGAAAAATTTTCATTTTTTACATTTTCTAATTAAAGTATTTTAATATTTTTTTATTTTTTTATTTTACATATAAAAAAAGGCACATTATGATTCAATAGATTATTATTCGGGGTACAATAAACAAGTCAACGGTGTATCGTAATAATTGAAAAACGTTTACAATAATAGGGACAAGATATATTAAAAGAAAATTGAAGGGTGGAGATGTAATGCTCACAGCTTGATAAAGGCGAAGAGAGGAAGCAAGCATTAGAGAGTAAGAGAGAAAATGGAAGAAAGGAAAATGAAAGGAAGAGTGTGTGTGACAGGAGGTGCTGGTCACAATTTGTGTTCCTCCTCAAGGTTGCAGAGGTATTCAATTGTTCATTCTCTAGAGAAAGAGAAACTTATATGAATACAGGGAGAGAGAAAGAGAATGAGCCTGAGAGAGAGATTAAGGTGAAGAGAGACAAGCTTTGAAAAGAAAGCACTAGTATTGTTTTTTAATATAAATTATTAAAACGTCACTATTTCGGATGCTTGTAATAATATATCATCATTGCAATTGTTTTTTGAAATCATGTCTCAACTTTAAAATTTTCTTTTGGTGTAAAATTAAATTTTATTAGTAGAATGGTTGAAGACAAGTAGGAAGAAGAAAATCCGATTCAAGCAACCAATATATAGCAATGAAAAGATCGGTATAAATGAAAGTTAAATCAAAGTTTTAATGCTTTGCATCTCTATTTACGCAAGAGTGCCAACGTAAATTATATTATAGAATCAGCAAATATATTTACATCTTCAAAGTGTAGTTTAGGAGCTGTCAGTACTCATGGACATTCTGGCAAAAACTAAAATTTTAAGAAGCTACAAAAAAGTTTTTCCTTTAAACATCTAATTAATTATCCTTTTAAAGATTTAAATTATTACCAAATTAGTTTCTAAAAAAATTAAAATATCACTTTCTTAGTCCTTAAAATTGATTAAAGTGGTAAAAAAATTAAATTGATGATAAATTAAAATTAATACTTATAAAAAAAAATTGATGATTAAAGTAACAATTTTAAACTTTGAAGAATTAATTAGGTAACCCAAATATTTGAAGAACTAACTTTGTAACATTAAAAGAAACTAGGGCACCTTGTATACTTGATTTCTTTGTTCTTGTATAAGATTCTAAATAGTAAGAAATTTATGTAGGCACATATCCAGTTGGTTTCGCACTTCCAACTGCTATGGTGCATGTGGATGACTTGGCTAAAGCACATATATTTCTTCTTGAACATCCCAATCCAAAGGGAAGGTATACATGTTCATCATGTTATGTAACAGCTGAAATGGTATCTCAAATCGCTTCTACTAAATACCCAGAATTTCAACAAAAAACACCAGAGTGAGTTTCTATTCCACTTCTTGATCATGTTACTAATTTGCACACTTGACTGTTTAATTTTTTGAGTAAATGATTTTTGTTTGATCTCTTTGGAATGAATTAGTACATTTGATTATAACCTCTTCCTGTAGCTCGTCCAAGCAAAGTCAAGTTATTAAGCTACCAGATTATTCGTCTAAGAAGCTTATAGACCTTGGATTTGTGTTCAAGTATGGACTTGAGGAAATGCTTGATGATGCAATTCAATGCTGCAAAGAAAAAGGCATACCTCTCAAGTGGTAGCTGTGGTCCCTTTTCTATGGTTATCCATGCAATGACGAGACCATACAAATATTATTTATCTAATAAATGGGTTATCATGGCATGGCAATTGGGAAGATGCTTCTGAGAATGGAGTGTTGTTGACTATAAAAACTAGCTATTGCAAGTCTGAACGATTTTGAATTTGTATGAAATCTATTAGTATTATGTGCTCTGTATTGGTTGATGCAAATCTACACTCTAGTGTTTTATAATAGGAATTGATAAGTTTGAGTTTCAAAGCCTCATAATGGAGAGGTGACCATGGAACATTCAGGTAATACCTTCCAATTTTTAAGTAATTTAGTTTATTAATTCATTTGGTATAAAATTTCTGCTCAAAAAAGTTACCGAAGACTCTAGTTTTAGGAAAATTAGCAAGTGTCTACGAACGTTAAAAATTAAAGTTCAAATATTTTAAAGGTTGTTTGATCGGTAGTAAAAAATCACTTCAAACATTTATTTTTAGAAACTTTAAAAATTAGTTAATTAATCAAATATTCTATTAAAGATAATCAGTAAATACGATATCATGGTTAAGTTGATTTAAATAATTTTAAAATTTGATTAAAACGTTTAAAATTCAAAGTTAATCATATTTGATTGGATACCTGGTTTGAAAAAATGACTTAATTTTATGCGAAAACCTAGAAGAAGTGTCATATGATATGAAGTGTAATTGCATATGAAGAATAAAGTGACATAAAATTATTGCAGTTTAATGGAAAGACTCTAGACTTTTATTGAAAGCAATTAAAATAAAATAGCAAAATAAAAATAGAGAAGTCGCATGGACAATGGACATATTTTTGGTGGGGTAGCTGAGGGTTAGCGCAAAATATGTGAATTTTTTGCAGTTAACATCAGAATTGCAGTGCTTGCTTAAATAAAATTTTCTTTTTTTTAAAAAAGTGAAATAAGTTAAAAATTGATTTTTGTTTAAATTAAATTTTTTTTATTAAAATTAAAATAGTGTATAATATCATAACTTTATCTTCTTTTTTATCCCAACTCTATCTTCTCTAAACTAAGAAAATTTGAACAACATTTGTTTCCTGTCAATTACTATACTTAATGTGTGCACAATAAAATGTATGTTGGTTTGCAAAGGAAGTATGAGTTTTGATATTGACACAAAATTTAATATTCTTTTTCTTCTCAAAAAATTATTCACAAGAAATATGAATATAGTGCTTATAAGTGTGTTTTTTCTTTTTTTTATAAATATATTTGATAAAAAATTAAAAATATAATTTAAATTTAGAATGAATGTGGTTGTTATATTAAGATAGAAAGAAAATAAAAATAATGAATAATAAAATTTTTAAAATATTTTAAAAGTGTTTAAATTTTTTATCTATTTTTTTTTGTTTGAGTAAACAAATACTAATCTATACTCTCATATTTTAACTATTTTATGATTAATTTTTAATTAAATAAAGAGAGGTTCAAATCAAAATTAAAGGTTCATATAAGTATTAATTTGTAACTCAAAGTAATTAGACACCGTAAACATTGAAAGAGACTTAAATTTTTATGGAAAACAACTAAAAACGTGCAATAAATTCGAGCAGTACTTAAAACACAAAAAATATATATTAATTTATTTCAAATAGAGATTTCAATTGGAAAACAATGGGTAGCATTAGGTTTCAACAAACATTTATCTGATAAATTAACTTTAAATTAATTCAAGCAATTAAAAACATCCAAGAAATTAGAGCAAGGATTAAAAACACACAAAAAATAATATTAATTCATTTCAATTGGAAAATAATGGGTAAGGTTAGGTTTCAACAAATATTTATGTGATAAATTAATTCTAACTTAATTCAAGCAAAATCACTTATGTTTTAAGATTAATTTACAAATTAGGTCACAACCAATTTTTGGTGTGTGTATTTTATATCGTCATAAATTAATCAATTCTTTAATTTAAGTCACATGAAAAAAATTAGAGGTGAAAAGAAAAGCATAAATACAACTTTGTTGCTTATAATTTACTTGGAATTTGGGTTTATGATTTATGTTCTAAAATTTTGGTTTGTGTACCTACTACTACAAGATGCTAGGACATTTGTTATGGTGTAATGATAAATTATCATTTTTTCCATTTTATTTATAAAATTTTAACATATTTTATCATATGAATTAATATTTTATAATTTATATTAGATAATTTTCTCTTAATTTCATTGTAGAATAATATGATGGTGCAACTTCGATAAAATATGTCTGATTATAAAAAAAAAGTTACTAGTAAATAACAAAGAATGAATAAAATTGATAGAGAGTGAAACTAACACACTCTCTGACATCAACATGCTTCATGCTCAAAGATTACAGCATTAGACAACAAAAAATTAAGGTTTTGAGAGGCTAATATGTTTGTTTTCCATTTTTAAAAAAGTTTTTAATTTTTTTTCTAAATATAGTATACTATTTTTTGAGTTCTGCACTTTATAAAAGATATCTCTTTCTCTTTGGTAAAGACATATTAAACCTATACTCAGTTTTTGTACACAAAAACTAACTCCTCATCATAAGCTCATCTCTTTCTTATGAAACTTAGGTCAATTATTGTATATTGATTGTTTATTAAATATTCATAAATTATTTATTACAATTGACAAGTACATTTAACTGTTGATTTAAAACTTTTTTGAAGAGTTAAAATTCACAACACACAACCATTTAGATCATTGTTTAATATATTAGAAGAACCAAAATATAAATTAAATAAAAAATTGACAAAAACCAAAACATAATAATATAACTACAAGGATTATACCGGTCAAAATGAGATATTTATCTTTGAGCTAATTGGTTCACTGTATATTATGATTCACTCTAAATTTATTTTTACCTAATTATAACTTATAATTACAAACTTTTATGGCATGCTATTTCTTTTAATTTATTGTAAATCTTTTTATAATTTTTAATTATTGTTATTATTATTTATTTAGTGAGCCAACTCAAGTTAATGAATTGAGTTTAGTTAATATTTTCTAACTCATGGCAAATCTAAATATGGTTATAGCAAGTCCTAATCGAAGTAAATTTATATAAAAAAAAAAGGTCTTTATAAAAAAATAGTATTCAAATTAAATAAAACTTTAATGATGTACAAAAAAATTAGTATGCAAATTAAAAAAATGTTTTGCATCTGTGTCATATGATTATCCATTAAAAAGAAGATAGAATAATCCAAATAGTGAAAGTACAAAATTTTTTAAATGAAAATTGATAAGCGCCAAATTTTACAAAATTTTTACATGAATTAGGGCACTTATTAATTTTAAGGAATTAAATTTAAATCTCAATTTTCTTTTAATTTAGAAGAATTTAGAATAAATTATTTTGATTAAAAGACAAAGATAAAGTTTTTTCTTTAATCCTTATTTTTGAATTTTTTTAGTTTACAAGAAATTAAGGTGGAAGAAAAGTAGAGAAGAAATAAGCAATTGAAGAATTGAATCACCTTTCACTCAAGCAAAACAACTTAGCTTGAGAAAAACTGTGAGAAACAAAATTCAATCCCTATCTAATTTTTGCTCAACAAAAATTCTTTTGCTGGAACAAAAAATGTGAAGTATTATTTTTGCTTGAGCGTAGCTATTTTCACTCAAACAAGAATTCACTAAAGTAAGAAGAAAAAATACAAAAAAACAAAGACCCAAAGAGAAGAGCAAAGAAGCATTGCGTAATTGTATCTAATCTTTAACTCTAAAATATTTTAATAATTTATATATATATATATATATAGTTATCTATTTTTGTAGATGTTGGTGAATTTATTATGTTTTAATGTTTGATTCTATTTTTATCGATAGTATCTTGATTTAGGATCCAAGATTTAACTAGAAAGTAATCTTTAAAGTCGGATTAAATGAAATTTACTTAGTGTATTGTGATTTTAGAAATAAATTTCACTATATCGATTTTTTTTAACAATTGTTTTTAATGTTGGAGGATTCATTAAATGTGTGACAAAAGAATTGTTATTTAAGAAATACTCTTAAAATCGTATATGTAGGGAATATAAAAATATTTTATCTATTTTTATAGAATGTCTTCCTATGTATTAATTCATTAAAATATGAAGGAAGATGAAAAATAAAGTCCAATTCCAACTTTAAATTTTTACATTTCAATATTTTTATTAGTTTTATCTTAATTGGATTTATTATCTTTAATCTAATAAAACCTCAACCCATGGATATACGTACAAATGTCTATAATTTTTAGGTGTTTTAATTAGAATAATAAAAATTATAATAATATTTATCAAGAGATGAACAAAAGAATATTTAGTTTTTTTTTTTAATAAGAGTTTTATAGTTAATTCTAATTTTCATCATTTTAAATGATTTTTTTATTAAGTATTTATTATTTTAGATTCATATTAAATTAAATTTTGGTATAAAGTGCTATGCATGGGGAAGCAAATACGCATTTTTTTTAACTAAGTTATGACAGCAAAAAAAAGTATCTATTTTGAAATACGTATGATAAAATAAAAATAACTATTACATATAATATTATTTTATTTTATGTTCAAATAATAAAACTAAGATATTATAGTCAAATACCAATCATTGTACTTTTAAGCTTAAATTTGTTTGATTTGATTCTTCTTCATTTTGAGGTGTTGCAGTGAGGTTTTTCTTGTGAGTATTATTTGTAGTTTTGTGTTGAGACTTTCCTTGTTTGGTTTATTAGAGTAGTTTTTTTGTGCTGGCATGATTCTCCATTATGGTTGTAAGCGATTACGAAGTAGAAAAGCAGGACACCTAATTTTGTTTGAAAAGCAAATACACAAGTGAATATGCTTTTACCTCAATCATGGGTGGGACCACAATGTCTCCCCTGAGCATATCACTTTATAGCCCATGAATTTTTAAAACCTCAAGATGTAATCCATGCTATGAGCATGCAAAGAATAATTGACTTTGTTGCATAATTTTGGAGGCTTGGACTGAGATTACTATGTTAGCTAAAAGTGAAGATTATAATATCTATTTAGCCTCTGATGCGTTGGATGCTATGATAATTATCCACATGCTTTCTGTTCAAACTAATGTTAAACATATCCATGTGTTCATTCGCATATTTGCAGGGAGCTTGGAATCCACACAATAGATGAAACCAAGTTCTCAATGTTTCTTAAAGGACAAGTTTGCAGTTGTTGATCATTTTGTTATTGTATAGTTGAGACTCCTAGATTCAGTGGCTGGTCGAATACATTGAGGGCCTGTTTGTTTTATACCAAGAATCAATTTTTTACACCATTGTAAAATTTGTAATTGATCATAACTTGGAACACACATCTCAATTTCTTTCTATAATTTTAAATCAATTTTATCAAAATAACCAACTCTATCTAACTTTAAAATGAACAAAACATATATCTTTTAATTTTGAGCTTCTTGTTCTTCATGGACCATTGACAATGGTTCGAACATTAAATAAAGGATTCAAGTTCAAGATGAACCATAATTTATAGCAACCAAAGAGCTATCATATTACTATATAAGATAGAACTTCAAGTCCTCATACAGCAAATATAACGAGGGGAAGAGCAAGGAAAACTGAAAATAGACTCAACAAGGAAAACCAACACATATAATACCATCAGACACCAGCATATAACTTGATGTTCTACTCATAACCACAAATGCCCTCAGAAAAATTTTTAATCTTCTTTTCCCAACAGAGTGAGAAGGAACTTCTGGTAGTCCCCTGAGGTTTCCTTGGCCACAGCATGCTCAAGATGAACACTGTTTCTCTTGTAATAAACTTCAGAAATGAGCTTCAGGTCCTTTTCAGCCCGGCTCACAATCACACGGGTGAGTGCATCCTCATCAGTTCCAACCTTTTTTATTGCATTGCGAAGAACCTATAAAATAAGAAAATTTTTAAGGAAAATATCAATGTAACAAAGTTCAAAATCTTGGTTGATTTTCAATTTTTCATCAAGAAGACACCCCAACAACATTAAAATATCGTTAGGAGCACCTAATAGGATGAAATTTATAAAAAGGATTGAACTATTCCCCTAATGCAAGTACAACCCAAACTTCATTGATTAAAATAAGATGACATTGTTGTATAGTGCTAATAGAAAGAAAAATGAGTTAAACCTTTTCATAGTACTTAATATGGTCATTGATGCAACGAATGGCAGTGTACAATGCCTTCTGAAACTCATCAGATCCTTCATCCAACAGTTTCTGCAAACATAAGAGGGATCAAAATATAAGATGATAAATAGAAGATGTGAATTTTTTTTAGTTCTCTTTTGAACGGCATATATTGAGAAAAGCATGACAACAATTTTAGTGATTCGATGAAAGGAGATAAAAGGATGTGGTGTCTTTTGTTTCTGTACCTTGGTGATGGAAGCACCATGGACCTCTCTGTAGCGGTTGAAAGTTGCAATCAGTTGAGTCTTGCTCCTTGTAGTCAAGACCCTGATGGCTTCTTCATGGCTTCCCTTCTTCTCTTTCACAGCCTCATGAAGAATTTCAGCTTCAGTTTGTGCTAATTTTGGATTGATCTCATCACCAGCATACCTGAATGAGGTCACCAGTCCCACTAAAAGCTGCTCAAAATCAAACACAAAAACTTAGATCATAGGCACTACAACATTTCATATACTTCTTACGATTCAGAAACCTTACATTGATCACATCTTTATTCCCATATGAATAATTGAAAATCCCAAAACACTATACTGGTGAAATTTTGCATCTAATCATGCTATTTAATTAGCCTTCATTCTCAACTTTAATTGGAAAAGAAACATTGAAAGAAGTGATTAGGATCAACCTTTTCTTCTCTAGAAAATAACTTTTTCTAAAATAAATTGAACCAAACATGCACTAAATAGAAGGCTTGCCTGGCGGAGATGGCCAGAGGTATGAGCAGCCACATCTTCTTCCAAGGAGTGCTTGTAGCGGTGGAGATAAGCGCGCCTCACCGCAAATAGCTCTTCAGGGGAGAGGACAGTGGCAATTTCCACAACAACATTGTAGTTTTTACCACTCTTGATGGCAACATTCACCAAAACAGCATCACGATCTGCAGGTTCCAATATCCAGCGATACACAGCTTTCTGTTCAGTACAGTTTCAAATTCATTAGCACACATTAATTTCAAAAAGCACATAGAACACTAACAAGATCATTGTTTTCTTTTATGGATAATCATATGACACAGATGCTACATACCTCAAAATCTCCTTTGATCTCAGCCTCAAGGCGTTTCACAAGATCCTCCTGGTAAATTTCTTCATAAGCTCTTCTAATTTGCTGCCTCTGATACACATTTCTATGACCCAATATTACTATGACAGTCTTCTCATCAGTTCCCCATCCTGCAAATTTGAAAAATCAATAACACAACAATCAACATGATCTATTTCATTATAAAGACCCCTTTAGAAGATAAATAGGAGTGTTAGATTCATCAACTATACTAACAAATAAACAATCTCAAAAGTACTTTTTTTTACACTGAAATCAAATGACTAATCAAGATTGTAAATCTGTCACAGACATTAAAAAATCCAAACAATGATCCATGAATAAACATGATCCAAACAAAAAAGGGGGATGATGCCACCTTCAAAAGACTTTCTGAGAGCTTCAGCATCTTCACGGGGAGAGTGGTTGCTGGGAGCTAAAAGGGTAGCCATAGTTGAATGTCTTACTCTATAGTGCTTACTGTGATGATGTGATGAAGAGAACTACACTCACAGCTTTTCTATTTATAATGCTAGATAGACAGTGGCATATACTTGTAGAGTTATGCTGTAATTCTTCTATTGGAAAATGCTACACAGCTACACACGGATGAATAATCCCTGTACCAATTCAAGCCTCGTAGCTTTTTTTTTTTGGAAAATAATAAATGACATATTTTTTATTTCCTTTTCCTATTGACACGCTTTTTTTAAACTCAAAAGCCAATTTTGACATCACTTTGAGGGACCAACATATAAGCAGCTGAAAAATATTTTATTTAGATTTGTGAAATTTTCACTGCCACCCATCCATACAAATCAATGCCATATGGACGGTTGATTTGATACAAAATATAAAGTAATATGATGATATGAGGTGCACCTAGAATTTCGTGCATCATAATCAAGCCCTTAATTTGCTATTAATATCTGGAAAAAAACCTTACATAATTTATTGCAACTATTTTTTGACTCCTTAGTTGTCATTCATTGTCACACTAACTAAAGAGGAAAGAGTAAAAATACATGAATAAGGATTTTTAGAAGAATAATATTATTTTAACCATCCCATAAATATTTTGACATAAGGCTCCTATTTTATTAGTGAAAAATAATTAGCATGTATAGCAGGAGTGGATGCAATGTATTTGGTCAAGATGATGCCTACATACTTTGTTAATTCTCATTGATTTGTGCTCCCATCTATTCCTATTTCTCTAATACAAAACACGCGATTGAAGATTAAATTTATTTTTAAAAGAAAATAAATAAAACATTCTGGGACCCTTGGCTCAGCTCAAGTAGCACCAAGTTCCAATACAAACTATTTAATCTTTAAGATTGAATGTTAATCAAACTGTTTAAATTACCCTTTTCCCAATCTTCTCCTTCCTTACTTTTCAGAGATATTACAAGATATCATGTTGAAGACTAATAACATACTAATCAAAATCTCATTTACAAAATAAAAATACAATAAAATAATCACATTAGTATATTACTTAGTGGATTAAGTAACAACACTTAATTTTATGATTTTAGTATACATAGAAAATATAAATTAAAATTATGGCATGAAAAAGTATGGAGTACCTGCCACATGGTAGGTACATTAAGAATGTCTTAGTTCACCTAATCTTGTGTTCGAATTTTCTGGAAGTTGTGTACTATTTTCACATATATTACCTTTTCATCATTTTTATGTGGTCCCCTTTTTACTTTCATTTTATCTCCTTTTCATTTTTTTTTATTAATCATTTTTCTTACATGTCTTGTTAAGTCGGAGATTACTGTAGCAAAAAAAGAAGCGAAACACAGAGTGCAGGAAAATCAAATTATTAAAAACTTAATGATGATTCGACCACAAAATCAACTATTCTTAAATTATATTGCGTGAAAATCAGTAAGGGTGTCTTTGAGTGATGAAAACCCAAAATTTAAACTTAGATGATGATATGAGAGTCAAATTTACAGTGATTATCTGTGCATTGGAATGAATGATCACTGTCAATATTGGAAAATAAAAATGAAAGAAAATGAGAAGGATGAGGTAATAGAAACCAGCCACACACAACACAAAACACTGATAAAATATACTTCTTAAGTTACTCAAACTTAAGGCACACAATAAATCTTGTATCTTGATCTGTCTTTTTTATAAAAAAAAAAAAACTCCATAATATATTAGTGGTATGTTTAATTTGCTTTAAATTTATTTAAATTTGTATCACATGTAACATTACAAATTATAATTTTTATGTTAAAACATAATTTAACAATTTTATTAAATTTTAAACATGCATTAGAAAATTATTTTAGAATTTATTTTCAAAAGTTAAACTAATAAGTCGTGGAGTTCTAGACATCTAAATCAAACAAGACCTTATAATATTAAAAATTATAATATCTAACATCATCAGTATATTTAAACATAAAAAATTTCCTATTTATGCTAGCGAAAATAGAATGACAGACATAACTAAACATTATAATAAAATCTCTTCACAAGCTTTTTTTAAATAAAAAAAATACCGAAATTATTTACCAGTTTGAACATAACCAGACACAGATGAGAAAAAATAATGACTGAATGAAGGGGTGAAACGTGAGTTACAATCACAATTTAAACGTTATAAGAAAAAAATATACTAGCAGAAAATTGGAAGAAAATGCAATTGTGAAGCATTATTAATACCTTCGAAGGACTTGTGGACAGCCTCAGCATCTTCAGCAGGAGAAGTTGAATCTGGAACAACTATAGTAGCCATTGTAGATCACTAGAGTTCTTTCTCTTTCTGATTTGATTCACAAGAGAAAAAACAAATTGTTTTGGTGCATGGATTATGATAAATCATAGTGACGTTTTATAGGTACATGACTACTTAGAAATTATCGCCTACTCACGATTATCATTTTTAGACATAATTTAGACGTTACTTTTGATTTGTAAATTAATTAAATATTATATACGTTACTTAATTTAGCATCTTTTGGGTTCAAAAATCAAAATCACTTGAATACAAAAAGTTGATCACGCCATCCTCAAACAGCGTGGTAAGAACATGTATCATCATGTCATTTGGTGAGGTGTTTTTTTGTCCCTTTCTTTGTGCATGGTGAACATTTGGAAACACATGCTCCAGGATTCTCAACACTTGTATGACCATCTTCTGCATCAAACTACGAAGTAACTTTGGAATTGGGTTAGCTTCTAGATTAAGGCTTTGTTAATATAAGCTACTATATATTTATTGTATTTTATATTTTTAAACTAATAAATTATTTTTGATAAAAAAAATATTACTTTTAATTATGTAAAACAATTGTAAAAGCTAATGTTAATATTTTCAATAAATATATGCAAATTTCATGCATAATTTAATGTGTAAGGATATAATATTATAATACTTATTTTTAAATGCGTTTTAAAAAAGTATTTATACTCTCACACTTAATTTGAACTTTTTATTTGATTTACATCTAACAGGTTATATTTATTATTTTACTAACTATTAGATGTAAGTTATTAAAAGATTCAGATTAAGTGTAAGAATTTTTAGACTTATATTAGTATGAAAAGATCATCCTCCATATATATATATAAAGGAACGGATATCTAATATAAAATGAACAGTAATAATTATTTCACAAAATAATATAAAATGTTCTCTTAATCTATTATAAAAATTATCTTTTATGTTATAGAAAAGTTTGCAAGTAGATCTCACACTTTTTTCTTTCTTCTCTTACTATCAAACAAGGGGAAAAACTTAAAATATAAATTTTCTTTCAATAATTTTGGTTTATGTAAAATTAATTTTTTTTAACTTTTACATATTTAAAAATTCTTAGATTTAGTTCTTAATTATTATTAAATACTAACATGACTAACTCAAATATTCACACGTGTTAATTTTTATGCTACTATCAGTTTAATAAATAAAGAAGACCAAAATTATTAATTTTAAATAATTTAAAAGCTAAAATAAAAAAGTTTTATACCAATAAAAATCAAACTTTAACGTGTTTTTGAAAGACAAAATCATATTTAAACTTTGAATTTATATATATATATATATATATATATATATATATATATTAGGATTTATTAATATCATGTGTAAATTTTCTTAAATTTATACAAAATCTTAATAATCAATAATTTAAAAGTTAAAAAAGTTATCTGTTGTTTAACTAAAGTAATAAAATATAACGCATAATTAAATTATTGATTTTTACAGTTAAAGTTTAGTGTAAGTCTTAAACTTACACTTATTATCATATATATATATATATATATATATATTTATTTATTTATTTATTTTTTATTTTTTATTTTTTATTTGTAAGAATAAATAATTTATAAGCTGTTTTAAATGCAAAAAGTTAATTACATCTGTTATTTGTTGGGCTAAGTTAAAGTCATTGAATAGTGCCAATATATATAAATAAAGTCCATTATATTAATCAAACATTAAACATAGTAATCCACCCAAAAAAAAAAATCAAATGTAGTAATTTAAGATAGAAGTCCTCACACTGTCTCACACAACTAAACCAAAGAAACAGGATTCATGAGAACATACTCTTCTAAATAGGGAACTTAACCAAATCACACCACAAGAAACCAACACAGCCAAAACTATTACAAGATATGCCCTTAGATAGAGCAATTACTTTAATCCTGCTTCCCCAACAAAGTGAGGATGAATTTCTTGTAGTCCCCTGAGATTTCCTTAGCCACTGCATCCTCAAGGTGAACACTGTTTCTCTTATAATAGAGCTCTTTGATGTCCTTCAAGTCCTTCTCAGCCCTTGTGACCACCACACGGGTGAGTCCATCCTCATCAGTTCCAACCCTTTTGATTGCATTGCGCAGAACCTAAGCATCATGGTACAATTTTAAGAATAATTCATTGTATAAGAATTTTTACTAGCTCTAATTGTGGTGTTATTTATGTTCAAATCCCAACATACGAATAAGATGGCTTTGGTTATTCATGAATCCTTATGCCAAGCAAAATTGTTAATGATCTGGAAATCTGGATCATACAGAATGTTAAGAGTATAAAGAATATCAGGCAAATAACATAATTCATTTTGAAATGGTGTTTTGTACATGCTGATAGAATGTGAGAATCTGACCTTTTCGTAGTACTTTATGTGATCATTGATGCATCTAATAGCAGTGTGCAATGCCTTGTGGAAGTCATCAGATGCGTCATCCAACAATTTCTGCAGTAAAAATGTAAATAGACGCATGTCAAGTACCTTATATTTTTTTGAACAAACATGTAGTGAAAAATCAAGAATAAAACAAGAATTTTGAGGAACAAGACAATGAAGGAAAAAGCAAAGAAAGAGGAAAAGTTACTTTTTAATTAGTACCTTTGTTATGGAAGTGCCATGGTCGTCTCTGTAGCGATTGAAAGTTGCCATTAGTTGGGTCTTGCTCCTTGTAGTAAGGATCCTAATGGCTTCTTCATGGTTGCCTTTTTTTACTTTGATGGATTCATGAAGAATATCAGCTTCAGTTTTTGCCAATCTTGCATTGATCTCATCACCACCATACCTAAATGAGCTCACCAACCCAACCAATAGCTACCCAAAACCAAAACAAAGTACAAACTCAAGACCATTAGTGTGTACCTATAAAATTTCATCAAACCTGTACTTTTTATTCACCCTTACTTTAAAGAAAAAAAAAACATTTTTACACTGTCGTTCAATCGTGTATTATTTACTCCGTCGAAACAAAAGAGTTAATGATGTGAATGGTTGTAATACATGATTAAAAGACTTATATGAAGCCAGAAAATAATCAAATTATATGATTAATAGAAGTCTAAAAAAGGATGAACACAAAACAATATGAATTGGGGTAGCCAATCATATATATCTTGGTTACTTTTGAAAGATTTGAGAAAGGCCAAAATTTAAGCGAAGTTCTTTAGGTGATTTTAGCACTATTCTTCAATCAAAATTAGAATTTTACTATGATAGTCAATACAAATCTTTAATTATTGCTTTCAGGGTAACCATGGCTATGCTACCCCAGCCATAATGTAGCTCTGGCCTTGCTTACCTGGCGAAGATGGGCAGTGGTATTAGAAGCCACGTCTTCTTCCAAAGATCGCTTGTAACGGTTGTGATAGGCACGCCTCACAGCCAAAACCTCTTCAGGGGAAAGGACACACACAATTTCCACAATCACATGGTAACTTTTGCTGCCATTCTTGATGGCTACATTGGCCAAAACAGCATAACAATCTGCTGGTTCCAGCATCCAACGGTACACTGCTCTCTGTTATGTTTAGACCAAATTATTCAAAATCATTAGTACTATTATTAAGTCTATGACAAATTAAAAGTATAGGAAATTGTTGGCAAAATCATGTTCTAATTATGGTACCTCAAAGTCACCAGAGAGCTCAGACTCTAGGCGTTTGATGAGATCCTCCTGGTAAAGTTGCTCATAAGCATTTCTTATTTGCTGCCTTTGATGAACATTTCTATGAGCCAGTATTTCTATAACAGTCTTCTCATCAGTCCCCCACCCTACACAGTTCAAAACCATTAGATATTAAATATCACATTTTATCTTGTGAAGGATACCTTTTATATTTGATCAACTACTATTTTTTTTTTTTAATAAACACTTCAATTTATACTGAATTTTGTCAGAATTGGCTAATGATTAGGGGCGCATGTTTTCCATCAGTCATTGAATCAATTTTCTTAATCGATTTTCAAGATGGCATGAAAAAAAAATACATATTCATAACACAATCAATCAATGTAATTTTTTTAATTAGACATGGGTAAAGAAATGTAACATATATAACCTTGGAAAGCTTTTCGAAGAGCTTCTGCATCTGCAACAGGTGAATGGTGGGTGGGAGCAATAAGGGTAGCCATAGATGAATGTGTTTTCCTCACTAAGGTGCTGGTTATGTTGAAGTTCAGTTTCCTAGCTCTTCTATATATATAATATAATTAATAAACTATACAGCTGTGAACTACGCTTTTAGGTGTCCAAATTTTAGTAGTTATAGTAGATTTTGTCACTGTCAATTTGGACCTTCATACCAAATAATTAATAGCCTATACAGCTATACAGCTATGAACTATGCTTTCAATTTGTTCGAGTTTGTTAAGAACAATGTTATAATCTTCTATGTTCCACTCTTAGTTTGGCCTCTTACGCCATCAAGAAGTTGAAAATTGAAGAAGGGTTATTATTTACATACCCAACTAATTGGTGTTAAAGTGAGAGATACTTTAGATCATGTGATAGAAAATGGGGAAAATAAAAAAAGCAAAAAATAGGTGTAAGAAAATATAAATATGAAAAATAATCATTGATTAAAAAATATGTAAAGAAAGATATTTTTTATTAATATCTTATATTTTAATACTCACTCTCCGTTATATTTAATTTATATTTTCTTTTTATTTTTATCTTTCTCTTTTTTATCACATTATTTATTATATATTTTAATTTGTATTTCTCTCTTTTCTCTTTCGATTTTTACATCCAAAATGATTATTAGTAGTAAGTTATTCTTGACGTGTTTGCACGAGATAAAATATAATTTACAAGTTTAGTTCTAGATTTAAGAGTTGTCTAATTATATAAATTTGAGAGAATATTTTATATTTTTTTAAATTAATAATTATAATATTTTAAAATTTAAAGAATATTTATATTTTTAAATAGACTATTAATTTATATTATTTATAATATATATTTAATATAAAATTAATTATAATAATTATTCTATATATAAGAATCTCCTTTTGATTTATAAAGTATTATAAAAATTACTATTTTAAAAAGATAATGTTAAAAAATAGAACAGTTAAAATACTAAAAAGTGATACATTTTAATTCTATAAAAGGTGAAAAAAAAATTACGACAAACCGGCCATTACATTCAATTTTATTCACACTTCAAAGTTGCCTGTTTAGGTCTACAAGGAGATAGAAAAAAAAAAACACCTTTATTTATAGATTTTTTTTTAAAGTAAATTCTACTGTGCTATAAGAATTGAGAAATATTTTATATTCTCTTACATGTAAAATAATTATGACGGTTAATTTTAATAGTAGAATTGATAATTTATTTAAAAAAATAGTAGAATTTATCACAATTTGATTAAATTTAATGCAAGTGTTAAACTCACAAAAACTTATAAAAAAATTAAGCTTTATTCATTTTGAGTGTCATTTATACAAGTCCAAATTAGATCCGACCATTGCACACAACAAATTAACCTAAATAACTTGTTTTAGTGCTAACTCACTAACTAATGCATATTAATTTCGAGTTTTATAACACGACCATTAGTATAAACAAATGGCATATTAATTAGTATTAATTATGGCACTCAATGGTTTCGTAAACAAATTTTCAAAAAATCAGAGATTAAAAGGATTCAGCAAAAAAACAAAACATTTCGAGGTTATCAGCTAAATGTTAAAATCAAAATGTAAACGAAAAGAATGAAACAAGATTTCTAGCTTCTGAAAAAGGCCAACAAATCGAATATGTTGTATATATGATGATACCTTTAAAAGCTTTTTGAAGAGCATCAGCATCTTCAACCGGAGATGTTTGGTTTGGAGAGAGAAGGGAAGCCATAGAAACACTCACTTAAGCTCTTAATTTCTCTCTCACTTGTGTATGTGATATTGAGGATTTGTTTTATCACAGATTCAAACAATATATAATGCCATTTGCTTCATTGGTGTTGTCGCCATGACACAATCATCAAATTTGAACATTACCTTTCATGTCAAGATTAATAATAATTAATTATCCACATTAATTGATTTGCATTCTTTGGCATTGAGAAAGCCATTTAAAATTTTAGAAATTGAAAAAAAAAGTGTATTCTTGGCTTCAATTGCCATTAATTGCTTCCATGCATGGAAAAACAAGGGAATAGTTTATGTATTTTGAGCTGAGTCTCTTTTTATTTGTCACTTCATGTACTTTACACAGTTTAAAAATATAATTAATATTTTAATTTATGTAAAAATCATTATCTAATTTTTATTTTTCTCTAATTAGATAACTTCTTTTTTATTTATTAGTTTTACTCATTAATTTTCAATATTAAAAATATTTTTTTTATTAATATGCAGGTAAGTTATGGAAAGATTTGTGATCTGGTCTCATTGATATTTGAAATTTATAATAATTAAATGTCCATCTTATAATAAATGTGTAAAATAAATAAATTTTCTGCAAAAGGTAATAGTATAATAAGAAAAAATGATAATAAATATTTTTTTTAAATTCTGAAGTCACAGATAAAAAGGAACGGATCAACTACTAGAAAGCATCACCGTTGTTGGTAAAAAATTGTTATATTAAAATAAAATTTCAATAATTTAAATATTTTATAATTAATTTTAAATTTAATAAATTTATAAATATTTTAATTTATTAAATAAAAAAATTTAATTTTTAAAAATAATTTTTTCAATTTAAGGTTGATTTAAAAAATATATGTTAAAAACTTCTTAAGTAAAAGATAAAAAGGAGTGGAGGAACCAGTAGAAAACATCACCATTATTGGTAAACAATTATTACAACAAAATAATTTTAAAAAATTAAATATATTTATGATTAATTTTAATAAAATTTATAAATTTAAAAATAGTTTACCTTATTAAATAAGATAAAAGTTTCAAATTAAAAAAAATTAAAATAAAGATTGATTCGAAAACAAATTGTCAATTTATAAAAAATTATGTAGCATAATAAAGGGGGAAAAATTAACATTTGAAAATGTTCTTGTTTAAAGTAACTTTTAAAATATTCTTGTTTAATAATTGATTCATAAATTATATAGAAAAAATAAATTGTTTTTAATTCATTATTTTTTTCTTTGTTTGATCTTTTATGATCTTTTTTCTTGCTAATAATAATAATAATAATAATATACAAATGTAGAACAAAATTAAGAAAGATATGGTAAAAAATAAAAATATTATAATAAGAGAGAATATAATTCAAACATTATTATCAATAAATTGTTTTTAATTTTAAAATGAATAAGTAGTGAACTGTAATGGTTTTACCAATATTTTATTTCCTAAATAATAGACTTTTATTCATAATATAGAAATTAATAATATAAAAGTGGATTAATATAAAAATTATATTTAAGATATCGTGAAAAATTTATCCTGATAAACTCAATTTCTTATGATTTTAATTTTTATAATTTTTAAAACGATATTACTATTACTTAATAACATGACATGCCCATTTGCTATCTTAATGAAAAATTCAAAAGAAACTATTTAACTTTTTAAAATGAGGGCCCAATTTGACAACTAAGTTCCTACGTTAGTTAGTACTTGACATATGAACACGAGGCACACACATCAAACGAGGGAACAACTCGTCTTTCGTTTTCATAACTCATAATTAACTTCGAAAAATGATAATTGATTTTAATAAAATTTATTTTCAGTTATTAATTATTATTATTAGAATATATTTTTTAATAAAAAATAATAAACAAAAAAATAAATGAACAAAGAAAAGGATAATTTAAAATTTTAATGAAGATATTTTTTAAAACACAAATTATAAAAAAATAATATGAAAAACATAAATTCATATACCAATCTTTACTCTTCCTAAATAAAGATAAACAACTATAAAATAACTATAAATTTCGACTCCACTGGGGATCGAACCCAGAATCTCTGGTTCCGTAGACCAGCGCCTTATCCATTGGGCCATGGAGTCATTTTGTTTACTATTGTTGCACCTTTTCATTTTTAAGTAGTTTTCAGATTGGGCCCACCATCCATCCTTCAAAATTTTACATATTTATTAATTATTATCATATTTTATGAAAATTTGTATTTACTTCAAGAATAAGTTTTGAGTGCATATTCTATTTATTAATTTCTTTTAGAAATTAAAATTTATTAATTTTTTATTGAATTATATTATGTTATTTTAATAATTATATATATCAAAATTTAAATAAAATAATATTTATAGATATTCAATATTTGTTTATGTTTTAAAAATTATACTATATGTTAAAATAAAGTAACTTTATGAAATATCAAACAATTTTTAGTTTTATAAAGTTTTGTGAATTTAATTTACTTTTATGAATTTTTAAGAAATGTAGATAAGATTTAATTTTTATTTTAATTTGAACTGCGTGCCATCTTTTTTTTAAAAAATTCAAGTTAAGTACCCTTAGCCTATGTTGAGGTGAGGAATATTAACATTTCAAAAAAATTTAAAATACATAAAATTTGAATTGCTTTCAATCATTTGAAAAATGCTTTGTTTGGAAAATATAAATCAAGTTTGTTGTATCATTATATGCACAAATAAATAAATAAATAATTGTTTTAAATTTAAACTTCCATTGTTAAACTTTAAGAAAACTAAACATTAGCCAAACTTTACTATTTAATAATTCAAAAATAATTTAATTAGTATAAAAAATTTAAATAATTTCAATTTTTTTGTTATTTTTATTTAAAAGCTATTTTTTTAAACAAAAAAAGGACATATTTTATAAATGCCAACATATCCACATTATACCGTAATCTTATTACTATTATGGTTATCTTTCTTCTTTAATTTCTTCAGGAAGTTACGTTTTGCACTTTTTTAATACATCTTTTACATTTCTATTTTTTTATATAAAATTATTTAATATTATATATATATATATATATATATATATATATATATATATATATATATATATTATAAACAAAGTCAAGATATTTGAATAGAGTGTCATGTGTGTTGTAGGATAACTATAAAAATAGAAAGTGATTATATTAAATTTATGGATTAAGACACCAAAAATCATGTATCACAGAAAAATATTATTATATCTTGTTCTTTTAGTTTGAATTGGCTCTTCATTTGAGTTGTACCTTTTATTACACAAATTTTATATAAGACAAACTCAAATCAACGAGAAAAACGTTTGTTAGGAAAAAGGTAAAAAGAATATTATACTATGAAAGAACCATTACCTTAAAAATAAGACCTAAGCGTGTTAAAATCACAAACAAATAGTGTTTAAATGAGAAGAAGGGGTTAGAGGAAAGGATAGAAGAAGGTAATTTGTTTCATTTCTTAGGGAAAAAATTGTTAATTTTACAATTATGTGTTAATGTCTTAAAGATTGATTTAACATATAGTGTGGCATATAAATAACTTTGTCTAAATAATTAATTAATTCTCAATAATTCGATTAGGTTGAGACTTTCACTACTTATTAAGATTACAAAGACTCATTGATACATGTAGTTTTAAAGCTATTAATATTTATTTTAAAATTTTTGTGAGTGATTTAAAAATATTATCTAATTCTTTTATATCAATTCAACTATATATTCCATATAAATAAGGATATCAAATCGCGTCTTAAAATAACTATAAAAAATACTAAAAATTTAACGTAAATTCATTATGTGCATTCAAAAGCAATATTACAAAGGGTGTACATACATCAAGTGTCTCAAAAATACCACCACATAGGGTTATATATTTATTTTCAAAAAACATTACTACAAAAGAGTTGCAAAAATTTATAACTAAATTTATTGGAGAATTAAAGAAAGAGATAATTGATGTGGTAGAGTTATAATCCTATGTGAAAATAGAGAACATTATTATATTATTTTAACAATAAATTTGCACTTGCCATAAATTTATAAGGTTGGTTCATTCATAATGTATCAAGAGTTTGATTTCTAAAAAATAAACGTGTGTAAAGAGATGTGAAAAGAAAAAAAAAAGCTTAGAACTTCTTTGTTTTTGTTTTTAATTTTTAAAAATGTCTTTAAAAAATAAAAAATCTATATTAATAAATATATTTTATTTTACTTTAATTTTTTTAAAAAAATAGAAAACAAACAAGCTCTTATTTATCCATGTTTACTAATGCTATTGTCCTCATTAATCTTAAATGTTTAAAAGTTATAATTATTAGCGACGTATTTTCCTATTTCTATTTGTGCCGTGAATGAGAATTTGCAATTTTTAATATAATTTTTGTGAAAATAAAAAATTTGACCTTTAGTTGAAGTAGAATTTTTAAGGGTTGTAAACAATAAATTAAACAGCTTATCAAGGTATTTGCAATTTATTTTGGTTTAAAGATAATATTAAAACAAAACCAAACTAAATCAGAAATATTGGTTAATTTTTTTAAAATTTATTTTTTTTATGACTTATAATTTGATTTTTTATTTATATTAAAAATAAATAAAAAGATCTAGTGAATTTTTTGATAAAACAAAAATAGAGGCAAAAATCATTAACTAAAGCGACAAAATTTAAAATAAAAAAAATCATTAATATAAGATAAAAAAAAAAAACGATACTAAATTGTGATAAATGGAGGAGATAAAAGTAGAGTACCATATATTTAAACATTGTTATGATAAAATTAAGAGAAAAAATAATTTTTATATGAATATATAATAAAAAATAATTTTTATATGAATTTCAATTTGATCAGTTTTTACTTTAAACAGATTTTTTTTTATCAATTTAAAGATTTAAAATCGTTTCCGTTAGATTTTGAATACCCCAATAGGTGTACAACATAAAAACTAATTTAAGAGAAAAATAGTTTCGTACCTTTTTTACCACGTTTGGAGAAATATGGTCAACATTTTTTTGAACCACAATAATAATATCGTCTTTTATTTTTATTTGTTTTGCCAACATTAATAATATCGTCAAGTAGTTGATAAACACGAGCCACTGGGCCCAATCGAAAGCAACCTTTGCAGCAACCTGAGCCACTAATAGGCCTTGTACTGGCCCACTAGGTCCACATACATACATAGACAAAAGAAGCACAGCCAGAGAGAGAGAGAGAAAGAAAGGCACACACGTAGAGAATATGCCATTGCGAACCAATGAGGATTCAGCATTTGATAGACTCGCTCAGAGCCACTACTTTAGATACGCGAACTCACACGTGTCAACCGTGCGACTCACTCCACCACTCGTGAACCACTCGCGTGACGTCACGTGCGATCTTTCTCTAAACGCTCCGTCGCCGTTTTACTGAAACTTTGAAACTTCTTCTGTTCTTTCTATCTTCGCTTTGAGTTGTTGCATGCACATCGTGTGTAACGTGAGCGAGTCCTCTGCGACGACGTCGTTTTGCTTGCACTGCTCGGTTTCATGGTGCGGTTGTTGTGCTGATCTTCTAAGTGAAATCTTCTGAGGATTAATCTGCCATGAGTGAAGTAATTCATGGTCTGGTGTTTGCTTCCGCGTTTCGCTTTTACAATTTCTGTTCTGCGCATGTAAGAAATGTTTGACTGGAACGACGAAGAGGTTAGTCAATTTTAAGATATTTTCCCCGATTATTATTGTTAGATCGTAATTTGTTGTGATTGTAATAAATTTGATATGATTTTTTTAATTTCTTATATATTTTTCTTTTGTAAATTTTGTGTATTTGGTGTTTTGAATATGAAATGATTATAAGAGATTGAAATTGAGGTGAAGATGTTGTCTTGTGTTGCTTTTGTTTATAGTTTTTATGTAAATGGCTAATAATGTGTGGGATTTGGTTTTACAAATAAAATACAATAATTCTTGCAAATTAAATATTATTGGGAGGTTTTGACCTGCGTCTTGTCTCATTTGTTGTGTCTTAAGAGGCTTAAATCTGAAATAGAAGGAAAGAGAAAGGCTGTGCAGCCTTCTTAGTCTTTTTAGAATTTAGATGTTCAGAGAATTCTTTATAAATAACAAGTTCGATTAAGTACGAGGATCTCTTAGGGTTTGTTTAATATGAATCTGGTCACTGTCAGTCGTTGAAACACGTGTTTATACTAAGTTTGCCCTTCCTTTAGTTTGAGGCAGTCCTGACTTATTGACATCAAAATATTCCAATGTGAAGGAAATTTAGGAGATGAGGATCAGGAAAGTTTATTTGATGCAGGGGAAATTTCCTTGATGGGCTGAAAGTACATGACGGGACAAGGAATGGACTGTGGACAGCCAAGCAGTGATTCAGAATAATGATGTTTCAATCTCAGAATATTTCATCAGTGGCCATGCAAAGGGAGGTTGAGAGTTGCATTATGGTTGGATTCTGAGAGGTCTTATCATAGTTGTTCTGGACCATGAGAGTATAGTCACTGCCATATACCTTAAATGAAGTTTATCACTAACAAGGAGTAATGGAGGTAGAAGATGGTCATGATTTTTAGTTCTGTCTCCTTCAAAGGATAAGAAAAGTCAACATTCCTGATATGTTGATACATTTTGGCAAAGCTGGTGGCTGCACTCTGATTCATAAATTCTTGTTATTGCATACAATGAGGAGGCTTGGGTAAGGGCAGAATCAATTATTTTGTATCAAGGGAGATATGACGATAATATGGTTTCTTCCTATGGTCTATTATTGGTTCCTTTTCATAAAGTATGACAGGGGCCGGGGAACTGAAAGCTAGATTCATAAAACCCATGGCAAACACATATTCTTAGAATCTTTTTTGTTTCACTGATGATTGCAACCTTGCAGTCAGGGTTGCTTGAGTATTCCCATATGGTCTCAACCTTAAATTCCAGATTGATTGGATTTAAATATTTACCTGTTTTTTTTATTGTATTTAAGGTGGAAATAAAAGGAGTTGATATCAAACATGGATTGGGGTAAAATAATGGCAAGTTTTATAGTCACGTTTTTAATAAATGCCTCAAGAGAAGGGAGAAAATAAAATTTTAGATGCTAAGATGGGAAGAGGTATTGTAGATAGTAAATTGTGAGAATTAAATGAAATGAGTGGAGGACACTGTAGGCCTGTTGTAGACTATTGTTTTAACAAAGTTGTAACCCAGTGTAAAGAATTATACATCTTCAAAGATGTTCTAGCATTATATAGTTACTTATATTTGATTTAAGTGTATTAGAAATCTGTATCATTATGTCTAGGTTTTATGTAAGCGTCTAGGTTTAGTAATACTAGTTATGAAAATTGTATCTTTGTGTTTCATGTATTCAATTTTATAAATAATGAGTCTGTAGTGTAGTAGAGACACATGGTTTTTAAGAATTTTGCTTTTCTTTTCAAGGTGTTATGCGGTAGGATTATGTTTTTGGTTTCTCTCTAGTTTTTTTCTCATTATTGTTTTTGGCAACACTCCCTCTGCTTTCAGAAGTCAAGATCAAAGGTTCAAATCATTGTTAGATGTAGAATTGGCTCCAAATATTACATTCATGTCAGATTGTCATTCATGTCATGATTTGTCCCTTTTCTGGCTGATTTTCCTGTATTTCACTATAGAATAAACTCATTACTGAGCTTTTCCTGTTAGTAGTTGTTCACTCTTTGTTTAGCTTGTTATACCACAAGTTTTTGTTCTGTTTTAAAATTTTAAGAGGCTGTTTGGTTTAGAAAATATTTTCTATTTTCACTTTTAGTTACAAAAAATGCCCCCTTGTTTTTATTTTGGTTTCTATTTTCAAAGATTTGTATAAGAAATAGTGCAAAAAAGAAAAAGTTGTTTTTCACTATTTCCTATAAAAATATATGAAATCAGGAGACAAAGTGAAAACAAGGTGGCATTTTTTCTATTAAAAGTGAAAATAGAAAACATTTTCTCAAACCAAACAACTATTGATAAATTTAATCATTGTAACAAGCTATGAGCTTATGGAAGCTTCCACCTTCTGTATTTGGGGGAGTTTGATGATTATGGATATGTAGGAAAGTTTTAATAGTAATTCAGAATGTGATAGGATTTAATAACAATTGTTGCTTTTAGGGTGTCCAAGGAAGAGGCTATATGTGTTATTATGTAGTTGAAGTATCAGTAAAAATATGTTTTCAATTTAATTCATGTATGTCAGTCAATGTATTTGTGTTTGTTATTTACACATCCAGCTTTTAACCTTCTCACTTTCTTAATAGAAGAGTTGTTATTTAAGAGCTTTTACCTTGGCTGTTAAATTTAGAGCAGAGAGAGAAAGAAACTGAGAGGAAATTAGATGAAGTTTTACTCTGATTGTAATAGGCGAATACAACAATATAAGTGCTCGTAGGATCTTCTTTATATAGATGCCATACTCCAAACTGACCTGATAACAGAATGCTACCTATTAGTGTTTCTATTACAGTTGTAAGAGAATATGGCAGTTGGACCAGCAGCTCAACTAACATCTAACTAACTCACTAATGATATACACAAGTTATAGCTATATACTCTAAGATTGCCTGATATATTTTTTAATTAATTGTATAATGTGAAATCATTGTTCACATTATTGCTTGTAAGTCCCCATCTATTATTTCACATTTTTTAGTATCACTAATCATTCTCGGATTGTAATATAATATGTAGATATGACTATTAAGATGTCTCACATTAACTAGGAATAGAGTCAGAATACTTCTTAAAAGGTTTGGATAGTTCTCCTACTATGAGCTAGTTTTTGGGAATGAGTTAGACCCAAATTTCTTAATATGGTATTAGAGTTTATCCAATTTAAATATTGGGCTACCCCATGGGCCACTTACAGATGTTCAATCCTGCAAACTTCACACACTAAATGTTTAGTGTTGAGCATGAGGAAGGTGTGTTAAGATGTCTTATATTAGCTAGTAGTAGAGTTAGAATACTTTTTATAAGAGTTTGGATAGTCCTCCTACTATGAGCTAGCTTTTGAGTGTGAATTAAGCTCAAATTTCTAAATAATGACCAATGTCAATAATGCATAGATGTTTCATTTGAATGGCTGTGTAACCTGAAATGGGATAAGCAACTTGGCAAAGCTCAGTCCAATTGAATTTTAGTGGAAAGGTTACTTGTGTGAGATAGTCTAGTGATGAAGTGCTAGACTAGAATGTGGACCCAAATTTTGAAAGGACTAGGATTTGGAAAGTGTATGTTCACAAGAAGAAGAAAACAAGTGAGGGGGAGAATTAGAATAATGCTAAGTTGGAGTAGTAGAAGTTAATTATTCATTGTTGCTTTGGAGATGACGTTATATCTCAAGTCTCCAAGTTCACATATTAGGGATCAATTCTAGAGAATGATGGAGAAATTAATGAAAATGGTACTCATAGAATACAAGCTAAGTGGTTAAAGTGGAGAAATACATCAAAAGTTATTTGTGACAGTAAAGTATTTGTCAAGCTGAAAGGAAAGTTTTATTGTACGACTATACAACCAGCTATCTTATTTGGAGTAAATGTTGAGACTTAAAAAATGAGAATGTTAAAAAGAATGAGTAATCACATGAAAAAGAAAAGGTCAAGAAATTATTGTATATGTCATATTGGAGTAGCACCTTTAGTAGAAAAGATGATTGAAAACTGTTTAAGTGGTTTGGTCATGTGCAAATAAGGTTACTGGAGGTACCCATGACTCCATTAGGAGAGTGGATGACGTAACTTATAGTTTGGTAAAAAAGAATAAAGGGAGACTCAGAAGAACTCTAGAGGAATATATTAAAAAGATCTAATGATAAATAGTATTTTTGAAAAATTGATTTTTGACCGAATTCAATGGCATCTTGTGATCTATTTAGTCGACCTAAGAAATAATTTGTTGTTGTATTGTTTAGAGAGAGAAAATACTTCTCTTGTAGATGAGGCTCTAGTTTAGGTTGTAAACAGCTCAAGCTCCTATTCTGGTTCTTAATCACATACCAATACTTATTCTTGTTATTCTATCAGCTAGATAGTATAGCAAAAAAAAAAAAAAACATAATTAAATGACTAGGTCTAATTAAAGCATAAAATTCCCCATAAGCCATCATCATACTTTGTCCTACTCATATCTGTGTCATTTTAATATTAATTGTTGAATGAATGGAGAAATGTCTTATGCTGCATAGGTTTGAAATCCCATTTAATACTTCTAAAACTGAAATACTTCATATGAAGTGGATGAGTTTCTTGTATCTGGTATGGTTGAAATTTAGTTTCAACTACATTTAGTTGTCATAATGTTTTCAGTGTTTTACATGATATAGAATCTGCTGATATAGTTTCCTGAGATTAAAAAATAAATGGAGATGTCATAGTATTTACTTGTGTCTACTGTCTAGGAATGTTCCTACTGCTAGCATCTGAAATGTTTATTTTTCTTGTTGGTTTTGCCTCATCAATATTTATTCCATGTTTGACAATGGGTTGTTTTCAGCTTGCTAACATAGTATGGGGTGAGGCTGGTGAGAGTGATGATCATATTGTGCCTTATCAGGAGGCAAGTGAAGATCTTCATGACAAGAAAGAATGGAATCAAAAAGCTTGTGCCACTAAATTGATCGAGCAGAGGAGAATAGAGGCTAAAACTGATTTTCATCAAAGAAAGCTAGGAAGCAGTTCCAAACTTGATAATATTGAAGGACAATCTGCCTCAGAATCTGGAACAAACTCATGGCCTGACTTATCTTTATCTAGTGCTGCTATAACTGATCAGGGTTCCCTGGCTACTGAAGTATCTAAAAATTTAGGTGAAACTAGCAAATTCATTTTAGCAAAGAGGTGGTAAAATTATTAATTGTTGGAATTATGAGTAGACTAGATAGCATGTCTATCGGTGTTTGTTTATTTGTGTGCAGATTATGTCAGCTGGTTTCTTTGATTTTCATGTCCTGCCTTTATTATATGAAAACAATAAACTTGTATGATATGTAGTTATAATTTATCTTTCTAATTATTTATATCTGTGACAGAAGAAACTACACATCTGGAAAAGGATGTAGAAATTTTTCAAAATACAAATGAAGTTAAAGAGCAAGGTGATTTTGTCAACTATGCCTGGGATAACATAGGAAGCTTTGATGACCTTGATCGAATTTTCAGGTAAAGTATATTATTTGTACTATTTTGTATACAGTTCATGCATTTTCTGAGGTCCTTGTAACATATGTTCAGTTAGATATTTTTTGAATATGACCAGTAATTATAATGGATGTAACTTTTCTTTATCCTCTTACTCTCTTTATAAAAACTTCTCCATTATAAATTTACAATTGCTTACACATGGGTCAATCTGAGTATAAGTGTCTTTAAAATTTAAACTTGTTTATGTTAAAATCAGATGTAGCCATGTGTGCAGCTTTCCACAGCCGAAGCTGCAATAAGTGGAGGTAACATTCAAAGTGAAAAAGGAATTCCAGCCATAATAAATAAGGAATAAAATCCACTAAATAGGGAGGGGACCCATCTAATTTAGTTTGTCCCTCGTGAGTTTCACCTGACAATAAATTTGCTCATCAATTTCATTGACGTTCCCCCTCAAATTGATGCTAGTAAGTTTACAAGCATCAATTTACCCACTAGGAGATTGTGTCGCTGACTTGTCAAAGTTTTGGTGAAAATATCAGCAATTTGCACAGATATTGAGACATGAGGTAGAGTGATAATTCTACAATCATACGCTTCTCAAATAGAGATAATGACAATCAATCTCAATGTGCTTCATGCATTCATGATAAATTGAATTTGCTGCAATTTGTATAACACTTGTGTTGTTAGCATACAATGGAGTTAGTTGTGCTTGAGAGAATCCAAGTTCTGTAAGACCACATAACCAAATTATTTCATAGCATACAGAAGACATGGCATGATATTCTGCTTCAATGGATGAATTGGTAATTGAATCTTGTTTCTTGCATTTTTATGAAATTTGAGCATTACCCAAAAAATACACCAACCAGTAGTAGATTTCCTTGTATTTAGACATCCAGCCTAGTCAGCATCACTGTATGCTTGGAGGTGGAGAAATGAACCAAATAAAATAAACCACATTTGAAGGTGCCAAGGAGGTATAGTATGATGCAAAATATTACTGAAAGATGAAAATGTTGAGAAGATTGCATGAACTTACTAACTGGGTGGACTACAAAAAAAAATAAAAATTGGATGAGTGATGGTGACATAGATAAAACTAGCAACCAATTTGCAATACAAAATGGGATTTGCAAGAAGTTCACCTTCATCGTGGCTGAACTTTCATCGGAGTGTCAATAGAGGATCTTGAATATACTTTTGTTGATTTTAAAATATGCCTTTAGGTTGATGATGGACTTCTAATCCCTAGAAGTTAGGTGGCCAAGCTCTTTCATGTGAAAAGATAATGCAACAACTGTTTAATTTTTAAAATAAGCTCTTGATCAGAACCGGTCACCACAAAGTCATCCATGTAAACAAGAAGCACCAAGATGCCATTAGAAGTTCTCTGTAGAAAAAGTGACAGATCATACTAGCTTTGTATAAATGAAAAGCCAAGTAATGTTGATCGAAAAATTTCAAATCATACTCAATGCCTATTACAAGCCATATAAAGAGCATTTTAGTTTGCAAACAACATTAGGTGAATGTGTGAACATACCATTAGGAAGTTTAATGCAAATTTTCTCCTTGAAGTCATCATGGAAGAAAGCATTTTTGACATCTATTTGATGTAATGGCCAAGATTGTGATGCAGAAGGGCAAGTATAGTTCGCACAATAACCATCTTGACAAGTGAGACAAAAGTCTGATCATGGTCAAGTCCATATTTTTTCTTATTTCCTAACACAGCCAAACGAGCCTTGTAACAACAGTCTATATACCCATCCAAACAAAGCTTTATGGAGAACACAAACTTGTTGTCAAGAGGTTTAACAGATGAGGGACATAGCACAAAATTCCATGTTTGATTTTCTTCTAATGCCAAGACTCTGATGATAAAGTTACTGTAAAGGATAAGGGAAGGGTAAAACCATACTTTTCTGGTGGTTTACAAGTGTGGGAACTTTGTCTTAAAGGAACTAGTTGTAGTTTGTCTTAAAGGAACTGGTTGTAGTGCTTATACTGGATCTGCAACTAAGGAATGACCTTGAGAGGGCCTAGGAGAATCTGATAGATAATTTTGAGTGGTATGACTTTGTTTGTGGTAAGTCAAGAGAGGTCTAGGTGAAGATTGTCCTACAAAAGAGTTAGAAAATAATGGAAAAATAGAAATTGGGGAGGGAAAGCATCGTGATGAGTTGCAAAAAAATATTTATTTTCTTGAAAGATGACATTTCTAAATACCCAAATCCGACGATGATTAGGATCATAATAGAGAAAACTTTTTTGGTGAGAAGAATATCCAAGAAAAGAACATTCAATGGATTGTGCAGTGAATTTAGTACGTTCTTGAGAAGGAAGATGGACATAACACACAACCAAAGGTATGAAGAGAGAAATAATTAGGTGGGTGACCAAATAAACGAGTAAAAGAAGAATTATTATTTAATGATGAAGATATCAAGAAACAGTTTATAGGGTGAACAAAAGTGGAAAGAGATTCACACCAGAACCTTGGTGGCACACATGATTCCAACAAAAGGGTGGACAACATCAAGCAAGTGGCAGTTTTTTCTTTTGGCTATTTCATTTTATTGGGGAGTTTAGGGACATGTCCTTTGAGATAAAACACCTTTAGTTTGCTAGAAGTCCTTAAATGAATGAAAAACGAACTCTCCCCCATTATCTGAGCAAAAAATTTTAATTTTAGATGAAAATTGAGTCTAAACATAAGTATGAAAAAATTTGAAAGCAACGCATACTTCGTCTTTAGAGTGCAAGAAATAGACCCATGTAAAACGTCTATAATTGTTAATAAAAGTGACAATATTTATAATTAGCATGAGAAATAATTGGTCCCACCCCTCATACATCACTATGAATTATAAAGGTAGAATTTTACTTTTGCTAACTTTACAAGGAATGAAATCAAATTGAACAACATGAAGAGGTGGAGACAGATTATTTCCAAGAAAATCAAATTTTAACATGTCATGCATCTAGTGTGAAGTAGTGTGTCCAAATCCTTCGCAACAGAAGCATTGCACAAGACTCATGTCACAACCTTGTGGCTTTCCTTGTGTTGCGTAAGCCACTAGAACAATAGAGGATTTTTGTTGTTCAATGGTTGATGGTGTGAGAAGACCCTGTTATTCACAAAGCAGTTCATTGAGGCATGCATCTAGTGAGGGTACATGGTCTCTATTCATGAGATTAGATTGGATACCTTCAAAATTAAATCTCAATTTCATAAGAAATTGATTTCATTTAGTAGTTTGATGAACTGATTACCTTGAACTAAGACAATCAAAAGTCAAGTTTTTCATAAATTATATCAGTGTAATCTGTCCAAAGATTCATGAAATGAGAGTAAAATACAGAGATGGAGAGACTATACTGTTGAGAGATGGCAATGTCCTGTTTAAGCTGAAATCTGCAAGCATTGTTATTCTGACTATAGATTTTCTTCAAGTAGGCCCACATTTTTGCTGCAATTTTGAATGTTCATAAATTTTGGACAATGTTTGCATCAATAAAACCTATGAGCCACACCATGACTTGAGCATCTTTTACCTGCCATTTGGCGTGTTCATCCTTTATTGGTTTTGTTAAGAGCAGGATTGCTACCATTAATATGATCTCAAAGATCTTTTCCTTTGACAAATATCTAGAAATGAAATGTCCAGGTGGAGTAGTTCTTGCCATTAAAGCAAACCAATAAGACGTCACACTTTTCAATAGACGTGAAGCTAAGTATAGAATTGAGACAAAAAAACAAGGGATGTAAAAATTGGGACCAGCTAGATTAGGATTATAGACCAGATTGATACCATGTTAAACTCAGAAAAGTGTAGGTCAGAAACTGTGTTCTCTTGCTGGAGAATTCTCTTATATATACTGTTTAATACAATAATTAGCTAAACTGCTATATTTACATTTATCCTAAAACTGGATATCCTAATTAAGGACAGAATAACAGTTACAAAGTTACAGTTGTACAATATAATCTCATAGACTTTGTTGGCTTTAAATGTCCAGCTATCCTATGCCGTGAATTTGCTGGTTTTGATGACCAGAAAATTTGCTCATCAATTCCATTGACAATTATGCTGTCAAAATTATGATTATGTCTAGTTCTTCACTCATTAAACTTGGAATAGAGACTTCATGCAGCCAATTTTTTATATTGTTTATAGGTATTATACAATCCTTGGATTAATTATCTTGCACACATTTTGAATAACATTGAATCTAAATACTAAAATTCCTGATTAACACTTAATATTTATTGACCACATCTGACCTTAAAGATAGTTTTGTGAACTTTCATTGCTTACACTGGTGTACATCTGTGAATATTCTCACAAGTGATGATTTTGCAGCAATGATGACCCTATATTTGGCCATGTAAATCTTGAGAATTCTGATGAGCTGTGGTCTTCCAAAGATGTGAGTAACAGTGCAGTACCCATACTCTTGGAATCACCAAGTCCAGGAAGTGCTTTAAGGAACAGATCTGAGCCTTTGGAAATTAAAGCAGAATATGTTCAACATAATGGTCAATCATTTTCTCCCAGCTTTAAGAGTATCAGTGATTCTTCATCTCAAGATATTCAAAATGCTCATGCAAACACAGTCAATGTAGGATATGCTAGAGATAGAATTATTCCTACTGAAAAGGTGCAGCAGGTACGTAAAACCATTTTGGACAATTACCATTGATGTAAATTGAACGAAAGAACCAAGAAACAATCTTAATAATTGAAATTCTCAATATTTTGATATCAGTGATTAGCTAATATCCATTAGATAAATAATGTCTTATATGGGCTTCCCAAAGACCCTATTCTGCAAAGTTCAGCAAGTCAAGCAACCTACACTTGAGAGAGAATCTACTCTAGTCTCTGGTAATCCTAATCCTATTCTAAAAGAAAGACATAATACAACTTGCGATAAGATATCCCAAGTCCCAAAAGAATAATAAATTATCAGTATACCAATGTTCTTTAACTAGTTTCAATACTATGTTGTTCTTTACTTGTTATATAGTATATTAATGAAATTAATTCATTTTTTTATCTGATAACTAATCAGGATATGGTAGGAAGGACCACTCATGTGATCTCAACTTTAGCTTCTGAAAATGGTGCAACTGCAAATGGAATTGCTGATAAGGTATATATCAAATTATTTTAGAAAAAAAAAAACATAATGCTAGTATGGAGTATGGACTTTGGATCATAGTAGTTATTAGTTAATTCCGAATAGTAGTGCGGAGCGAACACACCAAAAATGCTATAGTGGGATAGCAGAATAGCGGATAACGGGATGACCGCTATTCTGAAGTTTTAAATATATCTAATATAAATTAAGCTACACACATATATATGTTGAAAAATACAAAATTAAGCCCCAAATTATAGACATGCAATATTAATGATCAAAAGTGGAAGTTTAACTAGTGTATAGGAAGAAATTGAAACATGGGCAGTTTCCTGCGATTGATTGGCAGGAGCAGTCATTGCTTCTATTTTAGGCATTGAAATTTGAAACAAAACAAAGTAGGAAAAATCAAAATCTAGAAGGGAAATAGAAAATGAAGAATGGTCAATCACCAGAAATTATGCAGGTTTGTCGGAGATGAAGAAGATAAATGAAAAATGTCTAGGTCACATCGAAAGCTTCGCTAGAGTGGAAGAAGACGTTTGGAAATTGTTTGGGTCATGTCAGAAGCTTCATCATAGATGAAGATGACCGTATAATGTCTTTGTCACTTCACAAGCCTCGCCAGAGATAAAAGACACCGGAAGCAAGAGGATCGCATAGAACGAAGATGAAGAACAGAACAAAATAGAATTGAGAGATGGAATGAGAGGGCTTAAAACCCACCCATCGTTCAAAAATAGAAGGCAAAGTTGGGATTTAAGCATGGATGAAATAGCAGCCACGATGGCCATAATTTTCCTTGTTTTTGGCTGCGATTGGCAGCGTGAAGGCCGCTACTCTAAAACATGACGCAACGACGTCTTCATAGGGACACCCTATCACTCTGCAATAGCAGCCACTACTGACTTCTATGCTTTGGATCATGTTTAAATTATAAGGAAGAGAGTTATAAGAGAATGAAACATTAATTGATATTAACAAAATTGTATTGGAAGAGAATAAAATATTTGATTGTTGAAGAACTTGGTGGTGCTAGACATATTGTCATGTTTATAACCTAGAACACTAACCCTTATTTATACTAATTACTTTCTTAACTAAGTAAGGAAACGAATCATGATTAGATATGGAAATATTGTAACTAATCATAATAGTTTAAAGGAATTGGGGAAACTAATCTTAGAGGATAATTAAGATATTGTAAGATATTTTTGAAACAGTGATGGACCAAATAGTGAGAAAATGAATCAGATAGTGATGAAAAAGCAATGGAAATAGTCACAAATTGCAGGACGAATGTTTGATTTTAATGGAATGATGACACAACAGTGGGGGATCAATGACAGTGGTTGAAGACAATTTGAGACACATGGGAAAAATGTGTTGTGTAGAAGATTGGAACATGGAGAAAAACAGGGGTGTTAAAGGCATGCCAAAGATGTCACCGCAGTAGAACACACGAATGAAGAATGATCGGAGTAAAGAACACAATTGGGAACAACTACAAGGACACAATAACTGGAGGCAGCCAATATGAAGAACACAATCGAAAGAAGGCTGAACATGATGAAAAGAAAACAATTGAACCCAAAAGTCTCAATTTATACAAATATACAAGAATCTATATTAATCACAAAATAATGCCTGATAAAGGCAATCCTGATAATACATTTCTAATTACCATATTCACATATCAACAATGTAAAATTTTAGGGAGCTGGATAGTGGAGTAGACAAGTTGCAAAGGATGGTACTACTTTAATGGTAATGTTGAAATTGTGATGTAGGTGTGGAGCAAGGGCGAGAGATAAAAGTGAATGAAACACTATTAATATTAATTGAGATGTATTTTGATATAATGACGTATTGATTTGTTAATGTGTTCATAACCTAGAGCACTAACCATTAAAAAATCCTAACTACTAAGAGAGGAGAACATATGATGGAGAAAAATGGTAACCAATCCTAAGAGATAATGAGAAATCAGAGAAACTAATCTTAGAAGATAATCTAAGATAGTATAAATATTTTTGGATATTTCCATGTATTCTAATAGATCACATACTCTTTTTGAAATGGTCTTACACCATTTCTTTGTAATCCTTGATCATATGCACCCTAGACTAGTGAAATGTTGCTACTAGCTTAGCCAGACAATTTAGCCCCCATTAGCCTTTCCTTCACCTCCATTAGCCTTTCCTTCACCTTGGCAGCTTCTTATACAATACAAATACCTTTTGCTAAATTTAAAAATCCAAACAAGGAGTTTTACAAATTAAGCAATTTTAGTCATAACTTGGACTTTACTACCTCCTTTTTCTAGTTTCAAGCTCACAGTCAAACCATTTTAGAGGTGTATAGGCAGCATAAGGCTTTATCGTCCAATGGTTTTTGTGCTTTGGGAGGTCAGACATTTGTGGTTACATGTCCCTTGAAATTTGGAATGAACTTGTAGGCATCTTTAGGAACAAATGATCGTTACAAGGAGAATAGTTTCTTGCTCTGAATTTGTTTTTTTCTGAATGCTCTTTCTGTAGAACTACACTTGTATTGTGCCTTCTATCTTAAGTGAATGTGTGTTTTCTATTTAGATTTTCGGAGGTTTCTTACACATGTTTGACATTACTATGTGTTGCCTCTGGTAGTCCTTGTTTTTCTTTTCAAAGTCAACAAATTGTTTAATCTTTTTGTTGATGTTGTTCAGGGTTTTGGGCAAAAGAATCAGTTGAAAGGTCGGAAAAAATCCCAAGGAAAACAAGAGGGAAAAGTAATGCAGGAGTTTTATGGTAGTTGGTCTCCTTCAATAACTGCATCTGGAGAATTTCAGAATCAGTTGGGATCTTCTGTTATTCAGTCTTCTCCCTCTTCAATTCTTGGGCAACAGAAGCAGATTCAAGGACATGCGACACTATACCAGGACATCACAAATACATATGCGACATCCCCTGCATATGGGAACCTTACTAATGCATATCCTTCTATCACATTGCTACCACAAGCACAGTCTGGAGGTCTTATGCGACAGCCTCTGCTTTCTGGGTATGAAGTGTCTCTTGATTTAATGAATCCTGTGAACAAGTCTGTGGAATCAGTCAAGCCTCTCACTATGACACCCCAGGAAAAAATTGAAAAACTGAGGAGGCGGCAGCAAATGCAAGCAATGCTTGCTATTCAGAAGCAACAGAAACAATTGGGCCATCAAGTTCCTGGTACTAATAAATCAATGAATAAAACATGTGCCATAGAAATGCAAAGTCAACGTTGTGATGGGGCTCATCCTGAACAAGATGATTCTAATATAATCTCTTTGCCAATGGATGATCATTTTGTTGAAGACACCACACTATACATGCTTCAGGATATTATATCAAAGGTGACGTTGAATTGATAATGGTCTAAGCTGTCTTGTATAACTTTTTCTTCTATACTAATTCAAACATGGCTACAATCCTGAGGCAAACCTTTTTCTACAGTTAGATGTCAAAATTAGACTCTGCATTAGAGATAGCTTATTCAGGTTGGCACAAAGTGCAATGCAAAGGAATTATGCTAGTGATACAAGCAGTACAAACAGTAGTAGCAGAGAAGAACTTGAAGCTGTTGCAAGAGAAGAAAGCAACAGCCAAAACAGGTTTGGAAAACTGTTAAAATGCATAGCTACTTTAATTTCATGACTTGTTATCTTATATTCATCAGTCACCTACTTATTATTGAATTCAGTATCATTCTTTCTTCATTTCTGACGGATATAATTAGAATCTTTAAGTGTTTCAAGTTTGTGTGTCTGTTGTGTTTATAAGTTGAGATCATATAGGCTCTTACTTATGAATGGAAATTTTCAACATGATTCAGTGATATGTAATAGAGTTCATGTTTAATATAAAGCTATTTACACTAAATAATGGGCTTGCTTGAAACCACTATGAATTAGGCTTTATTCAGGTTGAAAGTTGAAACTATGAACAGCAATCAACTTGGTTATGTTGTCAAGTTGAAGGGTAGACCTAAACAATTTTCTCTGTTTAAACCTGCTTACAATTATTATTTAAACATATATATTTTTACGAATTTTGATTTAAACCTGCTTGGTGTTGGAGGTGAAAAGTGGGTATTATCTAATAGGGATGTGTAGCCACAGATTACTGAAAAAGAATGATTTTTTATCGATAAATGCCAAGATTTCAACTCAGTTCCAATATGGAACTAAAATTCAAACTCAGGAAGGAAGATACAATGTGGTTTCCTAATTCTGGGTTTCTGAGGGACCCAGTACACTCCAATTTCAGACTTCTTGATCTTTTTCCTACCTTATTCTCCCTTGGTACATTTTATTTATAGGCTTAACTGTCCCACCTAACTACCTACCTATCAGTTATATTGGGAAATGTTAACATGTTCCACATTGGTTAGGAATAGAGCTAGTATACTCCTTATAAGGGTTAAGATAGTCTAATGTGAGACATTTTAACCACCCTCCCTCACGCATAAGACTGAACATCTGGTGCGTGAAATTTGCAAGACTAAATAGAAACTTCTGCCTAACTCACTCACAAAAGTTAGCTTATAAGAGGAGGACTATCCCAACCCTTATAAGGAGTATACTGACTCTATTCCTAACTAATATGGGACATCTTAAAAGGAAATTATTCTCTATTACAGCTTTTATTTCTCCTAATGTAAACCTGTCTTACTAGGGGTGTATCAATATTCCCCCCCCCCTACAAGTTGCAGCTTGTCCACCAGGTGGAATTGTGGGAAGATTTCTTGAATTTGAGCTGCAGATTCCCAACTACTTTCACATGTGGGTAGCTCTCTCCACTAGATGAGGACTTGCAGGTCTCCTAATTCTGTTTCTCTAGTGTCTAGAACTTGTTCTGGCTCCATTTGTAACTCCCATTCTTCTACTAAAACTTCGGGTAAGGGATAAGATGTCACATGGAACAACAAAACATGAAAGACCGTGTGTACGTGGCTGTGTTCTGGCAACTACAAGCGATAGGCCACTTGACCAATCTTTTCTAGGAATTTATAGGGACCATATTTCTCATTGATGCATATAGCCAATGCTTTGGGTCGGTAAGGTTGTAGGTTCAAATACACCAAGTCTCCTTCCTGCAGTTCAATTTCCTCAACTTCAGAGGGTATAGTGGTCCCCTTAAGGAGGATAGGAGGGTCTCTGCCATATACAGCTTTAAAGGATGTCATTCTAATAGCAATACTATAGTTCATATTATGCCAAAACTCAGCCCAAGCTAACCATGTTGGCCATTGCCTCGGTCTGGACCTTGTTAGACATCTTAAGTATGCTTCCAAACTACAATTTGTTACCTCCGTTTGTCCATCTGTTTGAGGATGGTAAGCAGTGAAATATTTCAAAGTGATCCCTGCTAATCAAAATAATTCTACCGAAAAACTACTTAATAGCTCATCTCTATCAGAAGCTATGGATGAACGGAAACCATGTAAGCTATGGATGAACGGAACCATGTAACCTCACTATCTCTTTCATGAGCGCAGCAGCTACATCCTTCGCTGTGTAAGTGTGACACAGAGCAATAAAGTGTGCATTTTGCCCTTGGTAGAGTAGGTAGACTCTCAATGAAATCCATAGTGATGTCCAACCAAACCTGTTTAGGTAAGGGCAAGGGCTGCAGTTGGCCAGCTGGGGATAAAGCCTCATATTTATTTGTTGACAAATAGTACACTCTGATACAAACTTCTGAATATCTCTTTTCACCCCCTCCCAATAGAATATCCCAGCTATTCTTTTATAAGTACGGTAGTAGCCAGAATGATCCTCATTAAAGCATGAAATTCTGCTAATAACAAAAGAATACAGAGTTTCTGGGGAGAACCAACCTGTTCTTGTAATATAAATGATCACCTTGCTTGCTGTATCTTGGATGGGAGGCCTGGGTTTAAGGTTAGGTCATGTAAAACTTCCCCAACTTATCATCATTATTTATTTCCTCTGCCCATTCTTCTATGTATTATATCCTCATTGTGGTCATCACTTGAAATTGCATCCTTCTCGATAAGTCGTCTGCTGCTGGATTCTCCTTATTGGGTCTGTATTGTATTTCAAAATGAAACCCAATAAGCTTTGAGGCCCATTTGAATTGTTCCTCATTCAATAATTTCTGATCAGTTAAAATTTGCAAGCTTCTTTGATCTGTTACTATGGTAAATTGTGTCCCCATAAAGTAGTGATGCCACTTCTGCTATGCAAACACCTCTGCCATCAATTTTCATTCATAAACTGACTTTTGTTGCGCATGTTCTGAAAAAGCTTGGCTGAAAATAGCTATTGACTTGCACTGTTGATATAAAACAGCCCCTATTGGCTATTTTTGCATAATTCTTTAGAAATCTATGATAATAGCCAGTAAGACCCCAAAAACCTCTCACGCCTTTGACATCTTTCAATACAGGCCAAGAACGCATTACCTCTATATTCTTTGGATCTGTCAAGACGACTTCTCCTGAGATAATCTGCCTTAGATACTCCAGCTTAGGTTGTGCAAAGTAGCACTTCTTCAGGTTGACAAACAATTGATGTTTTCTCAATACATTCAGAACTGTAGTGAGGTTTTCAGCATGTGATTGAAGGTTTGGATCCGCAAGAATGGTCTTAGAACTTCATTCATGAGTGCTTGAAATGTTGATGGGACATTGGTAAGGCCAAAAGGCATCACCAAGAATTCATAGTGGCCTTCATGTGTTCTGAAAGCTATCTTCTCCATGTCAAAAGCCTTCATCCTAATCTGATGATACCCAGATTTAAGATCCAGCTTAGAGAATATTTTAGCTCCCCCAATTTCATCTAACAACTTATCTATTACAGGGATGGGAAATTTGTCATTTATTTGTTTAAGGCCCTATAATTAACACAAACCTCCATCCCCCATCTTTTTTTGTTAGCAGTATGATTGGGTCAGCATATGGGCTGATACTACATCATATTATTCCTGCTTCTAGCATGTCTTTTACCAACTTCTCTATCTCAGTCTTCTGGCCATGCAAATACCTGAAAGGTCTCAAATTAGGGATGATAGCATCTGATTTTAAGTATATGGCATGATCTTGAACCCTTTCTGGAGGTAGCCCTTTTGGAGTCTCAAAAACATCTGCATACTGCTTCAAAATTCCCATTACACATTCTGGAATCTACTGCCTGCAGCTGTTGTTTTGTGACACTCAATCACATAACCTTCCCCTTCTTGCTTCAAAGCTTTTACCATCAATTTCAAAGAGACTTGTCCTTTCCTAAGCAATGGATCATCCTTGATAATTATAGCATCTCCTCCCTCTCCTATGGTGAGGGTTAAAGCCCCAAAATCAGTCTCTACTTTTTCCAAACCTTCCAGCCATGCCAACCCTAGTACAACAACTGTGTCCTTCAAATCAAAGATGAAAAGAATTTTGATGTATCACTAGCCCTTGTAACTCCAGTGGAACCTCCTTGCATTTGCCTTGACTTTCTATTTATTCTCCATTTCCAACCTCTACAAGGAATGGGGAGGTTGGTGTCACCTTGAGCTTTATTTCTTCTACCAAATTCTGAGAGATATAGTTGTCTGAAGCTCCACAATCTATATGCACAATTACCCTTTTATAACCAATTAACCCCCATAACTTCAAGCTTTCTTGGAAGTTAGCCTCTTGAATAAAAACAAAGTTAGTGAAAAGAACTGAATATGTAGAATAATGAGTAAGTTTGCTAACAGAAATGAGGTTGAAAGAACAACCTGAAACAAAAAAATTGACTCTAAAGAGAGACTTGAGAGAGGGTTAGTAGTACCTATGCTAGTGACTTTGGTTTGAGAACCATTAGATAAAGTGGCAAGAGGAAGAGAATTGAAAAAGGTGAGATGAGAGAAAAGGGTAGCATTACCAAACATGTGATCAGAAGTGCTGGAAGTAAGAACCAAAGGGCCAAGGGAAGGAGACTGTGACAGGTGGAGTAGATTGCATGGCAGCCTTGTATTGGAAGTAAAGTTCAACAGCCACACGGGAATTGTTAGAGGTTGGGAAGATGCCAAAAAAAAGTGACCGAAGCAAGGCCAGTGCTGAAAAGAGGACGCCCAAGAAAAGTGGCTACACGTGAGATGTACGCAGGCTGATGGAAGTGGCTCGCATGTGCGCGTGGGGCAATGGTTGGCAACGCCACTTGGTCAATGGTAGTCTCTAGGAGGAGGTGCTTCTAGTCAAAGCCACAAAGAAAAGTCAATGACGGGAGATATCAGGGCTGGCAGTGACACGGTTAACTGTAGGAAATTAGATTCGACCCAAAACTGATACCATAGAGAAAAGAGAAGAGGTGTTTGAAAATTGTTGTATATTGCATTTGATCCAAAGATCTGAATTTATGTAAATACGGTAATTAGGAACATAATATCAACAAAGTTAATGGGCTTAAACTTATATGTAAATCAGCTGACTTAAGCCATCAAATACAATAAATGTATAATATCAAAACATTACAATTACATTAATAAAAATAAAATAATATCAATGTTTATTTAAATATGTCAGCTTATTAGGCCTAAAAGACTTTTTGGATAGCCCAAAGCCTGATCTTTTTTAACTAAATAGACTTTAAAAAAGGCTTGGTTTGACCTCTTCAGTAAACAAGTCTGGTCTGATCTAGGCTAAGTCGTAGGTCTCCATTGAGTGGCCTGGCCTATTTCCACATTTAGTTGGTGGTAGCAATGAAAAGGGGTGAAACGATAGTGGCAACAATGATGGGGATGGTAATTGCTGGTGTAGCAGAGGCAATAGTGACAATGGGATGGTGGCACAATGATCAGTGGTGAAACCATGAAATTCGACTTTTAGACTTGTGATTCTTATTCTAAAAAAAAGACTTCCAAATGACATAATTACAATTCAAAGGTCCAATTCCATACCCAATTTCAATTGTTTAACAAATGCTCATAGAAGGTGATGGAGAGATTGAAGAAGTTGCTTGTGATTTATGTTGGATGGATAAAATTGGAAATGATACAAGTGTTATTTGTGATTTCCTTGGTCTTCCAAGTTCAAAGGAAATTTTTTCCAAAAATCGTGAAGTGAGAATGAGAGCATACAATAAGCGCTGTAGAGATGAGAATATTGCGGTGGGTGAGTGGATACACATGAAAAAATAAGATCAATGATAAATGCATGAGATATAAGTTAGAGTAGCACTTATTATTATAGAAAAGATGATTTATAATCCTGCCTAAGAGGGCCTGTGAAGACAATGTAAATGTGGAAGGGTTACCGATTCAACCAGTGGACCAGAAAAATCGAAAGCTCAGAAGGGGGAAATAGAGGGACACATGGAGGAGAGATGAGAGAGAAGTTAGTTACAAAGAATGGGGGAACCCGTGATGAGGAGAGAAGTTAGTTATAAGTACAACAGGGGGAGAAAGGAGGATGATTCTGGATAATGTTTGTTGAGAGTAGAGGCTATTAGCTTGGGCTGGGAGATGAGAATCACCATCATGCTATTTCTGTTTTTCGTTCATTTTACTACTGAATACACACTATTTTATTTCAATCCCAGTTTTATTATATCTCTAGTTGCTTTTCTTTATCAGCTTGACCATGAGAGGAGAAGACCAATGAAGACTCTAGTAAGAAGAGTTTAATCATATGAAACATAGGTAGAGAGAGATTAAAAATAACTCCAACACCTACTGAAAAACATTGATCTGAGCAACTTTCTGAAAAATAGAACAGAATGATTTCAGTTGCTTATTTTTTAAATAGATGTCATATTGAACTAGATTTAGTATCCAAAACGTAGAGTTCATGAATTCTGGGAAGAACTATTGACACTTCTAACAAATATACAATGGTGAGAACAATTTGAAATTATAAATTTGTAAATATCATGGAAAGCCTAGTTGACTTATAAATGTTCTGTCTTCAAAGGTAGTGTACTCAATATATCCCAAAAACAACTTGCTGTTAAAAGATGTTCATTGTCATCAGATTAGGCATAACATAAATACTAGCTTTAGTAAATTGCTGGTTGTAATTTAACAGATTAGAAATGTACTTGCTAATTTAAAATATATAATATATTTTTCACTTTAATAAGGGTGTCTTTCCTCGCTAACCATATTAGAGATGACAATACCGTCTCCACCAATCAATATTGGCTTTTTGGTTATGGAATATCATGATTTGCCTTTTGAGATACTACTAACTACTACTCCCTGTATGAACCATATCACAGATATGCTAGGATTGCTGATGTTGAAACCAAGACAAATCCCATTGATCGAACTGTGGCTCATTTGCTCTTCCATAGGCCTTTGGAGTTAACTGGGAATTATCCTTGCAAACTAGAATTGCCTATTTCTGCTAAAATGCAATGTGAAAGCAACGCAGCTAACCTGGAGAACTTTCCTGTGGGATGCTTACCAGATGAGAATTTAAAAAGTAATCAACTCTCTTCCCAAGGGCTTAAGAATTCTTGTGCTTTGTTTGATGCCCAGCCCGAGGACCAATTTAAAAACAGTGATTGCATTGATACTTCAGAGAATGCTTCTAACAATGAGCCTGCTGTTGTTGGAGATCAGGTGCTTGAAGCCTCTTAATGAAGAAAAGTTCTCCATGAATCGGAGGGTAATTCCTTCCTTTATTATTTCACTAGTTTTTATTATGCTTTCCTCATTTGATTATATTTGGATTTACTGCTAATGCAAATTTCTTCTGTTATTGTCAGCTGTCTAGATCATAATCAACGCAACTGTTGAAGTCTATTTCACAGAATCCAGCACACATTCTTCACCGTGCATGTTATCAATAATATTTATGTTTCGTCTGTTAAAACCTTCCCAGTATGTATCTCAGTCCTTGAACTTACTCGAATGGGAGATTACTGACTTATTTTAGTCATGACTGTGTTAGATTTGTGCAGTACTAACGCCACTCATGTCAAATAGTCAAATCTGGCCACACTGTTTTGGACCAAGCTTAAGTTGGTGTTGTATTTTTATTTATGTAACTTCTTAGAGTTTTCCCGCATCATTAATTAACGTAGTGACTGAGGTGGTTGAAGACCAAAAAGAGGATTCTCCTTATTATTAGATTCAATTTCCTGATCTCTCTAAAAAGGAAAAAGAATTTCACGTTCTTCCTTTCAATAAGAAAGAATTTGCAAAATCTTATTGATTGCAATCTTTTTCACAGACTCCCTATGATTAACAAACTCAAGGGGTTACTTCATACAGATCTCCTCCTCCAAATCATGTAAAAATGTATTTTTAATGTCTAATTGCAGCAATGGCCAATGCTTGATGGCATCCATGGCATAGAAAAGGTGAATTGAGGCCATATATTATTTTGAAAAAAAAACTTTCAAAAGAATTTATCAAAATAATTATAAATATAATTTTTTATTCTATTTTCAAAATGTGTAAATAAATACTTTAAAAAAATCATTTTACTCAATCATTTTTTAAAAAATAATACTTAAAATATGAAAATTTTATCAATAATCATTTTTATAAATTATTATGAAATACATAAACAAATTAAGTAAATATTTGTTTAAGCTTGTGCTAAACTTAAAAATATCTAATAATATTTAGAATCTAGATTAAATTAGTATATTAATCTCTTAATTCTTGGTTTTTTTTCAGTTTAGTCTTCTAATTTTTTTTTCTTATTTTAGTCTCTTAATTCTAAACGTTTTTCAAGAAAGTTTTTTTTTTCATAAAAAAATGTTAACTCTTTCAAAATATTAATGTTCATCTTTATTTTTTCTTATAAACATTGACAAAAATATAGTATTTGAACAATTTTTTTGGTTGTTTTTTTTTCTTCTCATTTTTCTTTTTCCTTACTCCATATCCATGCCTACTAAGTTGTTTCTATCTATCTTTAAATGTCGATATATATTTTCTCATTTTCATCTTTTTTTACACCTTTTACTTATTTTTTTCAAACTTCAACAATTTTTTTTTTTTGTTTAACAATGATAATTTTGATTAATATATTTTGTACTACAAAGAAGTGTATATAGAGAGAAAGAAAGAGTGAGATTAAGAGCACGTTTGATTTTTATTTTAAAAATAGTATTTTATATTATATTTTATTTTTAAAAACAAAAAAAAAATTATAATAAAAATCAAGCATGCTCTAAACCTTTCTTCTAATGTGTGATAAATAATTAAATCTAAATCTAAATTATGTCATTACTAAAAGTAGTTAGATCATTAAAAAGGATAGTGATTTATTAAAAGGCATAAATTTTTTAATGAATGATTTAAAGGGGCTTGTATTTTGAGTTAAAGAATTTTGTTTCATTATTTATTTTATTTTTGTTGAATGAAGAAAAAGAGGTAGAGAAGTTTTTTGTTGGAGTTTGAAGGGAGAAAGTTGTAGATGATGGGTAAGAGGAAGAAAAAAATGAGAATTTTTTTTTCAAAGTTCAAAAGTGAAATAAAGAGACATGGATGAAGGATGAGAGGGGAATAAAAAAAAGATCAATGAGAAGAAAAGAGGCAACCAAAAAATTTGCTAAAATATATTATATTTTTGTTAGAGTTTAAAAAAAAGATGGGTATTAATTTTTTAACAGGATTAACATTTTTTTATATATATAAAATGACTTATTTAAAATACTTATGTAAGTTAAATGATTAAAATAAGAAAAGAAAAGTTAGAGAACTAAAATGAAATCAAGATTTAAGAAATCAATATACTAGTTTAGCCTAGAATATATTATGTATTGCTTTATTTTTTAAATATAATAACAATATATATATATATATATATATATAATTGTGGATAAAAAAAAGAATGAGATAATAGTTATAAAATAAAGAAACAGGTCTATTATATAAATGAAATAATAAAAAAACATTAAAGATTCAATTTGTTTAATATTTACTCATAAATAAAAATAAATTTAAAGTATCATAATATTTATATCATTATTTATTATATTTTAAAATATATATTAATATAATACTTAATACTATATTAAATACTATATATTAAATATTTTAACACTATATTAATATATAGTAGTAAATATAGCATTTATTATTATATATTAATACATCATTAAATGCTACGATAATAACAGTATTTAATGTTATATTTAACGCTATAGTAATATATTAATCTATAATATTTAGTTCATATCAATATGGTCTAAGGAGTAACATCAAAGGATGTAGAGATATTACCGAGTAAATTGAGTAGAGTTGATAAAATGATTTTGCTCAGCTAGAATAGCTTGAATCCACACAAATTTATTCAGGCCTTTCTTACTCAATTTGACCAAGTCCAATGTGGGTTAAGCTCACAAAAAATTCAAAATAAATAAATAAATTCTACCCTTTTTTTATACTATTTTTACAAACTCAAATTAGATTAAAGACTTTTTTTTACTTGACCCAGTGAAACTCATTGTCCACAATATGCCACCTCAAATAGGCTGGGTAGCCCGTTTTGCAACTCTTTTTACCAAGTACTATCCTTAAAAAATAACACTACCAGCCAACAAATGATAAAAATATATAAATTAAAAATTAATTAATATGTAATTAAAAAATTATTTTAGTCTACAATATATTTTTAAAAATATATAAATAAATATTGATCATAAAATTATACATATATAATTTTAAAATTTATTTAAAATTTGTTATCCATGACCATTAAATCAATGAAATTTAATATTTATAAAGAAGAGAGCATTTCAAGTGGGAAAAATTTATTATTATGAGAAGTAAAAAGTAAGAGAAGAGAATTAATTAGCAAGAGAGAGAAGAAAGTGGATAGTAGAATAGCAACATCAAATCTAAGCTCTTTATTTGATTCAATGAGCATTATTAATGTCTCTCACTTCTCATAATAACAAACTACTTTAACTTGAAATGTTTTTTATAAAAAATTAAATAGAATAATTTTAACAAGATTAATTCTTAATATAACTTAAATTTTTATTATATTTTTATTTATTCAATATATTAATTTTTATTTAAATAATTATAAAGATATGAATGTGTTTTAATCGGTATCATTCTAAGATTGTTTTTTTAATGTACACTAAATTTTACACACTTCATAGATTGTTTTAGTGCAAAAATAATTCCTTAATTGAAATATTTAAATAATATATTAATTTAATATTTAACTCTATATTAAATATTTTAACATAATATTAATATAGTGTTAAGTATAGCATTTATTATTATATATTAATACATCAATTAATGTTATGAAAATATGTAGTATTTAATGTTATATTTAATAATATACTGATATATTAATCTATAATATTTATACAGTATTTGACTATCCCAATCAAATCACATAGAAATAGTTGAAAATTAAATAGTGTGTTTTATACATATTTTTAAATCAAAGGTGAAAGCTGAAGAAAACAAGTTATCACTATTGGTATGAAAAATTGGTAACCAGTGGATTTGGACTTGAAATTTGACGATTGGGAATAAACATTCAATCGTTGACTAGGCTATTGTTGTTACATACTTATAGATTCACATAATATAAAATTAATCTGAAAAGGTAAAAAATTTAATTTCCTTTAACGAGAATCATGTCTTATTACTTCACACATTTGAAGAATTTTTCTACAAAAAGCCACTAAGATTGTGCTTGTTTATTCACTTTATTGCATCGCAGAGATGGGAACAATGCAACATTATTCATCACTCATTCTTGTCTTGCTATGCCTCTTCAACACCCCTTTCATGGAGGCTCTGAATGGAGGTTTCAGTGTGGAAATCATCCACCGTGACTCATCAAGATCACCATTCTATAATCTAACAGAAACCCATTTCCAAAGAGTTTCCAATGCTGTGCGTCGTTCAATAAACCGTGCTAATCATTTGGAGAAATCTTTTGTTTCTGGAAACACAGTTGAAGCCACTGTTGCACCAGATGATGGTGGTGCTTATCTCCTGAACTATTCAATTGGAACACCACCATTCCAACTCTACGGTATTGTAGATACAGGAAGTGGCCTTGTTTGGCAGCAATGCCAACCTTGCAAACGATGTTTCAACCAAACCACTCCTATTTTTAACCTTTCAAAATCCAACACATACAAAACCCTTCCTTGTTCTTCTGCTATATGTAAATCTGTGAAAGACACATTTTGCAACCCCAATAATGACCAAAACTGTGGATATTATATTGACTATGCAGATGGGTCATACTCACAAGGAGATATTAGTGTGGATACCCTCACTTTTGGCTCCATCAATGGCTGTGTTAAATTTCCAAATATTGTGATAGGTTGTGGAAGGAAAAATGCCGTGTCCTTTGAGAAGGGTAAAGGCTCAGGCATAGTTGGATTTGGAGGTGGACCTGTGTCCCTTATCTCTCAGTTGAGTTCTTCAATAGAAGCCAAATTCTCTTATTGTTTGGTACCAATGCTTTCACAATCAAGCAAACTCAATTTTGGAGATGCTGCTGTGGTTTCTGGTGATGGAACTGTCTCAACTCCCATAGTCCCACAAAACCCAAAAGTATTTTACCATTTAACGTTGGAAGCACTTAGTGTGCAAAACAATAGAATCGAGTTTGGAAGATCCTCTTCTAAATCTGATAGTACAGAAGGAAATATCATAATTGACTCGGGTTCAACGCTTTCTGTTTTACCAGATGATGTTTACTCAAAGTTAGAATCAGCAGTGGCAAATGTGGTCAAGTTAGAGCGTGCTAAAGACCCTTTGAAACAATTGAACCTTTGCTACAAATCAAGGTTAGAAAAACTTGATGCACCAATAATCACTGCACATTTTAGAGGTGCAGATGTCAAATTGAATGCTATCAACACCTTTCTTCAAGTTGATGATGAAATTGTATGCTTGGCATTCTTTTCTTCTCCAAAACTTGCCATCTTTGGGAACGTCGCACAACAAAACTTTTTGGTTGGCTATGATCTTCAAAAGAAAACCGTCTCCTTTAAGCCCACAGACTGCGCAAAGCAGTGATGGATTGTTGTTGTCTGTTTACTTAGTCTAAGTTATTGGATTACAATATCAGTAGTAATTGTTGAAAATACATTAGAATCTAGATCATATCAACTCTACAGTATAAATATTTATTAATATTATTTTAAATTATTTATTATGGTAATATTATTTTTCTAGAGGGTTTTTAATATTTCTTACCTAAACATTCAAAATATTAATATTTTTAAATGTTGAATTAACTATAGCATTTATTTTGAAATAAACCGTCATTATTCTCATTTCTATTTTATTTCTAATATTACCCAAATTCCAATTTTTCTATTGTTCACATTTTATTTTTTATTAAACAATATTATTATAACTTAATATGAATACGAAGATTATAATGAGAAAATGTTATTTGAGATTTAAATAAAATATTTTGCTTTGAGCTAATATGAAGGATCAGAAGGAATGTAAACTCATTTTTAAATGTCAAAGCTATTATTATTTTTTTCAATTGAAAGAATAGGAGAAGAATCAATTTTAGTTTTGTCTCATATTGTATTAGCTAAAATTCATGGTTAAATATAATTATACTTCTAAGTTCAATACGGTGGATTGCTTGTTTTACAAACAAATTTTAAATTAGGTCCTTTTGGTGCTTGTCTTCAATTAAAATTAAATTTTTACTTGAAAAGAAACATATTAATCTTCAATATTAAAGGTTGACACTAATTTTATGGATAAAACTCTAATTTTAATATAAAACAGCACCAAAAGTAATTCAAGTATTATATATAAATTTTATCCTGAAATAATATTTTAAAGAATCTCTCATATGTACCTAAGGTATAATAATAAATATTTTTTATCCAATTCTTAAATATCATCTTTTCATAATAAATTTAAAAATGAGGATAGTATACAATTATATTATTTAAAGTTAGTAATCATTTTCTGTAACTTGTTATCCAGTACAATAAAAAAATGTTAATGTATAGAAATTAAAATAAAAAATATTAAATATGACATAATGACGCTATACAGAAATTTATAGTAAATACTATTTTAAAAATATTTTTTTATTTAAGGACATGTTTATATAGAGAAAGAAATCTAAAATATGGATTCATAAAACCAAAATAATACTTAAACTAAAATAATTTAAAAAAATAAAGTTGCAAAATCAAAAACTAAAAATAATAATTTATTTTTTTAGAATATTTGGAGGATTTTAGTTTAATGTCTAGTAAGATATATACTCTCTTTATGAGCACTATAATGCTATAGAAAAACATATTTATTGGAAGACGTCAGCAGTATTCAATGTCCCATTTTAACAAAATAACGTTAAAAAGACAATAAGTCAAATTTTACTGAGAATTCAAAGCCAACTCACATAAAATAAGGTTAAAATTAAATAGTTTATTACAACCCCATATTTTTATAATTAGATATTTTAGTATTTTGTGTTGTTCAGTGTTGTTTTATTTTCTAAAACATATTCAACTAAATTAAGGTTTCCCTTCTTTAATTTGTCACTTAATCAAAACAGTTTGTCCCTTAATTTATACAATGAGTTTGCTTAACTTCAATTTTTAGAATTAAGTTTAAGTATTTAAAAATAATATTTTTTTTATTTTTAAAAGTATTTATTACGTTAAAAAGAAAATAATTTTTAATTAAATATTATTGTTATTGATTGTTTAAATTCATATTAAAAGTTGAAATTAATACTTTTTATAATATTGATATATATTTTTAATCAGTATTAAATACTATAAAATACTTATAAATTATTATTAAATTAATTATTTCAAAAACGTTTAAAAGATATTAGTTTTACATTATTAGTTACATATATAACTTTTACTAGTATTATAAATGTAGGAAAATGTTAATATCGACCATGAAGATAAAGATAAACAATTAATAATTGTGAAGTTTTATTAAAAAAAAGTATATATTATAATTTTATAATTTTAATATAAACATGTATTTAAAAAAAATTATTTACACGGATACTTACACTCAGTCTAAAAATTGAAGTTAATAAAATCTTAAATATAATGCTATATAGCAACATATTTATTATAACATATCTGCATTATTCGATGCTTATTAAATAAAAATAATATTAAAATAAAAAATTAAAATTTTATTAAAATTTTAAAATTAAAATCATACAAACACACTTATCATTACTTAAATTATTTTATAATTTTTTAATATAATTGGCATAATTTTAAATTTTATAATATGGTTGATAAAATTAAATAACAGTTTTAACGTAATAAATTTTATAGTTAATACTCAAATAAAATTATAAAACAATATGTTAAAATATTATTTATAAAATTATATGAATGAAAAGTGTTAGTATAATTTAAAATTATCAATAATACAAAAAAAAATTATAAACATGTAACTTATTTTATTTAATACTATTTAATAATAAAAATTTATTTTAAATATTTAATATTATATAAATTTAATTATTTTTTGTCTATTTTTAAGTTATCTATTTACTTATAAATTTATAATAAAAAATATGTTATATAAAATAAATATTTTTAATTAATTATGATAATTTTTATAAAAAATAGTTGACTTAGTCTTAATTCACTTAACCCCTATAAACTTTTTAACTCTAAACTTTTATATTATGAACTTTTTGACTTAGCTTGATAGAATTAAATAAGTATGACCTTTTAACAAAAATTATTATGAGTTTATAAATATTTAAGTTTACATTTATTATAAATATAATAATTTTTTTAAAAATGTGTATCAAATTAAAATATATTAGTACTTTAAATTAAACTTTATTATTATTAATTGTTTAAACTCATATTAAAAATTTAAAATTAATAAACTATTTAATTAATACAATTTTTCAATTAAATACTATAACATACTTATAAATTATTATTAAAATAATTATTTTAAGAACGTTCAAATTGAAGATATAATTTTACGTTAGTCAGTTACTTAATTTTTATTAGTATTATAAATATAATGTTATAAAGCTACACATTTATTATAACATGATAGCGGAATTCAATGTTCACCTGAGAAAATTAGTAATATTAAAATGTCAAAACTAACTCACACAAAAATCTTAATAAATGCATCCCAAAAAAATTATTAAAATGTCACATTTTATAAATGTATCTAAATATTTATTTTAATATTTTTTTATTAACTAATTTATTTTAGTAGTTGCTAACAAAACTCAGCATATTAGGTTCGTTTACAAATATATAATTTTACATTTATTATAAATATAACAAACTTTTATTAAAAATCTGTATTAAATTAAAATATACTAGTATTTTAATTAAATTTTATTATCATCAATTAATTAAAATCATATCTAAAAGTTGAATTAATAATTACTTATTTGATTAATACAATTTTTCAATCAATATTAAATACTATAAAATACATAAAATATTATTAAATTAAATATTTTTAAAAAACTTAGAAGATATTACTTTTAAGTTAGTCGGTTATAACTTCACTATAATAATTATGTATTTTTTCATAAAAACTTTTTATCTGTGTATACTTAAACTCATCCCTAAAGACTGAAAATAAGTAGTTAATAATAGTAAAATTTTATTAAAAAAAAATATTTATTGTAATTTTATAACTTCAATATAAAATATATTTTTTTCATAAATTTTTTTTATTTGTGAATGCTTACACTCAACCTTAAGAATTGTGATTAATAAAATTCTTTTTATTATTATAAATATAATTTTGTTAAAACTAACTTTGTTAAAATCAGCTTTAAGAATAATAATAAGCAACTAATAATAATAAAATTTTATTAAAAATAAAAATATTTATTATATTTTTATAATTATAATACAGTAAATATGTATTTTTTTATTAAAAAATATATTCTTAAATGCTTTAACCTAACTTAAAGATTGAAATCAACAAATCCTTTATAAATATAATGTCATACAACAACACATTTATTATAACACATAAGTAACATTTAATGCTTACTAAAGAAAAATAGTAATATTAAAATAAAAAAAAAATTATTGAAATTTTAAAATTAACACAAACACATGAAAAAGTTTTCATTTTAATAAATGCATCCCAATAAAATTTACTAATATGTTACATTTTAATAAATGCATCTTCCTTTTTATTTTTATTTTTTATTTTTTATTTTTGTTTTATTAAATAATTTCGTTTAGCACTTCCTAAAAAATCAATCTAGTATATTATGTTATAAATATATAATTTTACATTAATTGAGAAATGCAAGTCTTGTAAATAAATATTAATTTTTAGATATTTTTTATATTATATAAAATTTAATATACAAAATTATGAAGATAATATAAAATAATTCAACAATTGAATTAATAATTTTATATTGTCTGAAAAGTTATTAAAAATGTAAAAATTTAAGTTTAATATTTAGCGTATATAAATTTTAATTTTAAATTGACAAGTATTTAATTTTAAAAAAATAATGTTTTTTATATTACATTTTCTTTAATATTTTTTAAATAAAAAATAGTCATATTTTATTTGTATTTACAAGTATTGTTTAGTCAATAGTTAGTCCTATTCCCATCGATGCAAAACACAATTTCCAACACACAAATTCACCAACAATATCACAAACAACTGTGAGTAGAGTCTTATAAAAAGCCCATAGGAACGTGCAGGTGATAAGAAAGTTGAATAATTTGTAAGAGGTTATTGGCATAACCTCAGCAACAATGGAGTGTTATTTGTCTTTCACTCTTGTTCTTCTATTATGTCTTTACAACATCTCTCTCGCTAAGGCTCTCAACAGGGGCTTCAGTGTTGAACTCATCCACCCTGACTCTCCAAAATCACCATTCTACGATCCCAAAGAAAATGAATACCAAAGAGTTGCCAATGCTTTGCATCGTTCCATCACTCATGCCGACGCAAAAATAGGTGCTGTAGCCAATTTAACAATGCTTAGAGGTGAATACCTCATGAGATATTCATTTGGAACCCCACCGTTCCAACTCTATGGTGTTATAGACACAGCAACTGACATTGTTTGGACGCAATGCAAACCTTGTAAAACGTGTCATTACCAAAGAGCTCCAATGTTCGATCCTTCAAAATCCACAACATACCAAACCATTCCATGCACTTTCGCAACATGCAGGTCTGTGGCATATACAAAATGCAATGAAGAACATTTTTGTGAATATCGTAGGAGGTATGTGGGTGCATATTCACAAGGGTATCTTAGTTCGGAGACTCTCACTTTGGAGTCCACCAATGGAAATCCTATCAAATTTCCTAAATTTGTGATGGGATGTGGACACAACAACACTGCGGGCTTTTATGGGCCAAACACAGGCTTAATAGGCCTTAGTGGTGGGCCTGTGTCCCTCATATCTCAAATAAGTTCTTCAGTAGATGGCAAATTCTCTTATTGTTTGGTGCCAAGGCCTTCCAACATCTCAAGCAAACTTCATTTTGGAGATGATGCTGTGGTTTCTGGTGAAGGGACTGTTTCTACTCCCATAGTCATAAAGGATTCAAAGGGCCTTTATTTTACAACTTTGAAAGGATTCAGTGTGGGAGACAAAAGAATTGAGTTTGGAAACCCCACCTTTGGATCCAATGATGACAAGGGAAACATGTATATTAACACAGCTGTAATCACCACTCTTTTGCCAGATTATATTTACTCAAAATTAGAATCAGCTGTGGCAAATGTGGTTAAATTGGAGCGTGCTCAAGATCCAAATAAAGTACTCAGCCTTTGCTACAAAGGTACCTTTCAACAATTACAGGCTCCTAAAATCACTGCACATTTTAAGGATTCTGCAAATGTTCAGTTGAATACGCACAACACCTTTGTTCAAGTTGCTGAAAATGTTATATGCTTGGCTTTTCAATCAACTGAATATGTTGGAGTCTTAGGAAATCTGGCCCAACGAAATATTTTAGTTGGCTATGATGTCCAAAAGAAAACCATTTCCTTTAAACCTACAGATTGCACCAAGTTATAATTAAGTTGTTTGCTTTTTTTAGCCTAAACAGTGCATTAATGTTCAATAAATATGTTTTTCATTTTGCATTGACATCATATTAAGATGAGAGAAAGTTCATTGCTATTATTCATTCTAATATATTAATGAATGGGCAAAGTTTTTTTGCTTTTTCTAAGAGTATATTCTACTTGAAAATTATATTTGTCATGATGGGTGTGTTTGATGAAATACTCATTAATTTAATTTTATTATATATCTGTGAGTTTTTATTTTTAAAAGTGAAAAGTAGGTAGTAAATTTACACTTGTTACTAATGACACGATCGTTTTACAGTGAAATGTATTTTTTTCCCCCACTGATATGAAGAATGCAACTGACTCTTTTAAAGTGAAGTACGCAAATTTATTAACTTTTTTTAATAAGGACTCTTATCTCTTTAATATAGTAAATTATTTATTATTATTAATAAAAATATTTACTCTTTTAAATTTATAAAATTTGTTAAATTTAAGCAATTCATTATACTTTTAATATTTCATTCAAAATTATTTTAATTTAATAATAATCATGTATTCTAAAAAAAAACTCATTAATATAGAGTCTCAAATGCATATATTGTATATTATAAATATTAATTATTGAAAATTTTAATAAAAACAATATTCATATTAATTTCTAAATTATAAGTCATCATAAATAAATTTTTTCTATAATTATCAATGACAACAAAAAAAGAAATCTCATTTTAAATTTTAGATTATAAATATATGAATTTTGTTAGCATCAAACATGAAGCATATTTTCAAATAAAAAAATTACATATTTATTATATTAAAGTTATAAAAATATTATATTTTTTTCAATAATTTTTTTTATAACGTTCTCCAATTAAAATTTAAGTTTCAACTCATTAAAGTGAGTTGACTTTTGATAGTGACTTTATTACATGGATATTGGGGTAGAACTATAATTATAATTAGACAATAGTACCACTTGAAATGAGGTAGTTAGTAAATTCAATCTCTTAGACGTAATATATACATATGTATTTATTGAAACTTCAACTTGGAATTATATGTTAAATTAAAACAATTTATTAATTCACATGTTTAATAATAAATTTTATCTCTTTAATATGATAAATTATTTCTCATTAATAATAAAATTAATTAATATTTTATATTTTAAAAAATATTTAAATTTTAAAAATTCATGCAATATATATTTAATCTTTTATTTTTAAAATATTTTAATTTCATAATATTCATATAGCACTCAAACAATTCACTAAGGTAAAGTTTTAAATATAAAATAAATTACAAATTGTAAATTCTTAAAAATTGTAATGAAAATAAGACTCACAATAATTTTTTTTATAATTTATCATAAACTATAATTATACATAATGTTTTTAAATTGGAATTTTAAATAATTAATTAAAATAATGGTCCTGAGTTAGATTCAGCAACCTGACTACTATCTTTGGGATCTACAAAAGAGCTCTCATCAAAGTATTTGCTTACGCCTTTTGGTAAGAGTGCGTTCATCGGTCAATTTTAAATTAATTTAGTTAAAAATATTATTTGATTTAAATATAAAAGCATATTTCATTTTAACATAGATTTGTTTAAACATAATATTAAAATTTATTTAACTCAAATTGATTAAATGAAATTTACATTAAATTAAATTATTTAAATTTTTATTTATTTTACTTTCTATCAGTACTATTTTAATATTATATTAACTAGTTATCACTTTCTAAACACATAATTTTATGTACGTATTTCATTATTTTTTTCTTTTTCTTTAGTTTAATTATTTTGCATGTTCTTTTAAAAAATAATAATTACTTAAATAGTAATTACTTTAATAACTGTTTTGTTTTCTATACTACTTAATTATATAAAGAATGAAAATAAATCTTTTAAAAATATTGATAGATTCATAGTCTTTGAAAAAAATAAAAATCACCAAATAATACTTAATTTTTTTTTAATAAAACATGTTTGTCTTTCTATTTAACTTTACAAAATTATTTGTGACTTGTTAAATAACTAAGATGACATCATTAAATTCTATCTAATAAAATAATTTTTAAAATACTTTTTTTAAAAGTTAAATTAGTCTCTAAACTTTAAGTCTAGTATTTAAAAATATGTAAATTTACTCTTAGTAATATTTTTAGAGACCAATTTAGTTAAAAACATAAGTTTTATATAAAAAAGTTTTAAGATAAAAATTACATATGCCATCTAAAATAAATAGGTTGAAAATAAGAGGAGGTTAAATATATTTTTTTAAAAATTTTGTAATTTTTTAAAAATGATTATTTTAGAACTTGTAATAAAATAATGTTAAAGAGATAATAGATAATATTAATACATTGTTTCACTCCTAAAGAAATAGAATAAGTGTAGTATTTGACTTTAACCAAAATTTTTATTATTTATGATATTTGTATATAGGTATCTTACTACTCAAGTATTTTTATACAAGTTTTTCAAATTTTAAATAAATTCTAAATATTATTATATACTACTTCTTTATGTAAATAAACATTTTTCAAGTATAATCATTCAACCTATTCAGGTTAACATGCTTTCTATACAATAAAGAATAAAGTATACACATGTAAAGAAAGTAAATGAAAGCTTGTATATGGATAAATATTCTTGTAGTGGCTTCATCTTTGCATGGAAGCATCTTTAATTTATAATAAATTTAATGTGTAAGTATTTATTTTAATTCTCAAAATATGTAGTATTGTTCAAATCAATCCTTTAAATTTAAAACTTGAAATTATATTCTTATAATTAACAATAGTTAATTATATTAATCCTTATCATTAAAAAATGTTAAAATTAAATAACAGAGTAATAGTTTGTTGTATTAAATAACACATATCAGTCAATTTTAGATACAAAATAATATTCACGCTACAAAGCTCCTTTGTCTTGAGTTTTTTTTTTACTTGAGTCACTAGATCTAAGCCTTAAATATGTAGGTGGACAACCATTGTAATTGATTTAGTAAAGGAAGAAAATTTGGTGCACCCCTTTTTGCTATAAAACACTTTGCCAAAGCTGATTATCTTTGTAACATATGACATTGAAATGGTTTGATTCATTAATTCAGGAATTGAGGCCTACATGGGTGCTCTGCACTTGGCTTATGCTTATACTTGAAAAGAGAATATAATAAAGTTTGATGAGTGTTACCATGATCATGTTAATCCATTTCTTGTTAAGGCTAGTAGCGGAGTTGTTAGTTTAAAATTTCTTTGTTTTCCTAGTATCTCCAAAAGTTGTTACTTATAAAACTCTTATAGTCTCTTACAACTATTTCTCTACAATTTTAGAACCTCTTTGAGTCTAATAAGGGAGAGATTGTTACATTTTTCCTTCAACCTATTGTTAAAAATATTAATTTCATCGCTCTTATACTTGATAATCTATTGCAAAAGTGGCTGAAAAAAGGAAAGAAAACACCACAAAAAAAAAAGTGATACAAAAAATAAAAAAGAAAAATTATTGCTTGAGAATGTTCAAAATTGAAGACAAAAATAAACTATTTTTTATTTCAAAATATTATTTAATGTAAAAAATGAACTATTACGTATTATTTAATATGATGAATCATTATTTTGTTACTTAATTTTAATATCTCTTAATAATAATGATTGACATGATTGGTAATTTTTTATTTGAAAGACTAAAATTTTAAATTTTAAAAATTAACTTTAATTAAATTACACATTTTAAGAATTAAATTAAGAGTTTATCCTAAATTTAACTAAAATTTATGTAGACACTACCGTATACTCATTAAAATTCATTAAATTTCTCTACCTAAAAGTTTTCTGACATGTATAAAGACTTTTTTTAAGTTTAAAACACTTTTTATCATTTATTCTTTTTTTTTTATATTTCATTTACTTGTTAAATAAAAAAATTTATGTATCAAAACTTATACTTTCACTTATTGAAAATTTTCTTTAACGTGATCATAATTAATTAGTAGTCTCTGGAAATAATTTTGTTAAATAAAGATTTTTTAATTAAAGAACTAATTTGTCTATAAAAACAAATTCAAAAGCTATTTAATAACTTGTTTTCAAAAATTAAATTAAAGCTAACGATTATTTTCATAAACTAGTTTAGATATTTATTTTTATATTAAAAGTTACTGATGATAGAGTCTTAATTTGCTTATTCTAATATTGCGATATTGATCTTTTAGGGCCTAAACAAACTTATAGGTTTCAAGCATCTTGAGCAGCAATGACATTATACGGGATAATTAATTAATATTACTTTGGCAAAAGAAATAATAATAATAATAATAATGATAATAACAATATTATTATTATTATTAATTTATTAACTTTAATTTTAAGATTTGAGGATAAATAATTAATAATAAAATTTTATTGAAAAGATAAATATCGATTGTATTTAACCATTTAAATAAAATAGATTTTTTCCAGTTTTTGATATTTTTATTTAATGATTTAATTAGTTTTAAATTAGTTTGATCCATTGAAATTTAATTAAATATGAAACTTTTTTATTTATTTATAATCTTGCAAGTGCCCTTATTTTGCTTGAGAATTTGAGTCATGCCATCATCAAAGAAAAAGTTGATGGGTTTTGCATGAATCTCTCCACATGAGACCCGAGTAATAGAATGACCATATCATCGAGAAGGATCAGAGTCATAGTCATATCTACATTATTCTCTTCCCTTGAGTCTGCGTGTAGCATTAATTGCAGCAAACTCTGACAAAGAAAAAGTCTAATAAAAATACTATTACTCCAACTATGATTATCAAATTATGTGATCAATTTTTATAAATTTAAGGAAAAATAAAATAAAATAAAACGTCTTCACTTTAAACTATAGAACTCTTCCTATTGTAAATTTAAATCGTTATATCAAATTTATTTATTTTTGTTACAAAGGTGATGAGTATGAAATGATAAGAAAATGCAGACAACACGAGTATTGAACTTTAT